CCAAAAACTACAGACTGCTTATTCACGTTTTATTTGTTAGTAAACTTACTCAGCATAAATAAATAAGAGTGCCCATTGAGCAGAGCTGGCATCCAATGAGAAGTGCTCTTGAATGGCCCTGGCGTGACATCACATAGCAGCCTACTTCCTCTGGGATCCTGCAATGGCAGGCTTCTCTTCACGGGTGATAGGAATACTTCGCTCAGGGACGTCGCTTTGTTTTCTTGGTGCACTCACTGTCAGGACACCATCCAGAGAGAGCGATGAGGTGATGGTCAGGGGATCCACATCAGCTGGGATCCTGTATTTCCTGCTGAACTCCCTGGCAATAAAGCCATGCTCATCCTTCAAAAGGAGAAGAGAAGGAACAGCGCTGATTAGAAGTGTTCCCTCAGTTCCACCTAAACCATGGGTCTTTAGCATAAAGTCTGAGTTCAGGAAGCTTCAGCTCCCAAAGGAAAACTTTTCAGAAAGTTAAATGAGTTTTTATTATGAGATCTCCCTTGTAAAGATCTGAGAACGGCTGAAGCGAGAGAATGGCCTGCCCCTGCAGGTGGTGCGGGCACCCTTTGCAGGATGAGGCTTCCTCTACCAGCTTTTGTGCCTGCCAGCTTTGTTTCACAGTGCTGTGCTGCCATGGCTAAAATGTAGGACCTACAGCTACCTCCAGAGCCAGCAGGCCCTCCTCCTGAGGGTCTCCAGGCCCTCAGAATACACAGCTTCCAGGTGAGTTCTTCTCAACTCTAGCAAAAAAAACCTTGCAGAAGCTATTTCAGAATTATGAGCTTCCAGCATCTATGAATAGTGCTGAATTTTTTGACTGACAGATCTGGGCTCCCAGAAGCTTTTGGACCTGATGGATACACTGATACAGCTACTTTATCTCTAGGATTTGTTTCCTTCTTGCAAGTAGAGGGGGATGGGCAATCCCTGTTATGTACAGCCTTACACATGGCTTTTGGCCTCTCTTTGACCATTTGCCACTGAGCCAGCAAGCAGTGGGACGGCTGATAGCAGAGCACAACCCTTAAGGACTGTAAGTTGGTATTTTTTCAGGAACAGATAGCCTCTTGCTAATGGAACAGGGCAATGCATGGATTATGTGGTTTAATTATTACAGCTCACTGTTAACTTATTGAATGCCTCTCTGCATTCCTGTCTTCTTCCCAGAAAGAGGGAGGCCCAGAAATGCTCACTTCAAAGTTGATTTTCCAGTTCAGTTCTCAGGTCATGCAACACCAGCACTAAATCTCCACTCTGCTGCTGCCCAGTCTGGAATCGGATCGGTTTGCACAGAGATCGTCCATTAGGATTGGTTGATCAAAAACACTGCAAGTGTTTCAGAAGGGCAAAGAAGAGGATTATTCTGCAGCCTCCTGGTTTAACCATAGATGAGGAGGCACACACTGGCTAACAGTGACGCAATTAAAGAAGTACCTGCCGCTCCTCGTGTTTCCCATGAATTTCTATCATGTCCCCAAGCACCTTCACTTTCAGCTCCTCAGGGGAGAAATGCTTCACATCAAGATTTACAGAAAATTTGTCCTTCTCCAGTCGCATCTGTAAAACAAGGAGACAACTTCAGGCAAAGGTTTCAGCTTCATCAGACTCTCAGCATGCAGCAGGTCACGCTCACACTGGGCTATCTCCACATGCCCTGCCTGACCTGCATTCAGTCCTGGGATTCTTATCTGGCTCAGATTGTCTCTTGTTAGCTTCTTCCATTCATGCCCACCACTACAGCACATAAAGCATGATGCTTTCTCTCAGGATAAACATATAATAAACATTTTCTGGGGAATAAGGAAGAGATTTTCTCAATTTGAATTTGTTAAAACTGACTCCCCAAACTTTTTCTGAGGTGTCTGGAGATTTCCAGTCTCTGCAACTGAATTTTGCTAAGTCTTTCTGGAAAAAGAAACTGAGTGTGCAGCTGACTACAGCTCATGTGTGTCACTCGCAGGCTTTTCCCTGCAACATCACTCCTTAAAAACAAAAATAGCGTGTGTCAGCTAAGCAGCACTACTGCCTCACCTCTCTTATCTGAGCAGCAGGGCTACTGCTGAAACTCTGAGTCACTTGCTGCTCATCTTGCCTCCTTACCTTCCATTTTGCACTTTGTCATCTCCAGCAAATGCTGCTTTTTGCTGGCTCCTGAGGTTGAATTTGCATTTTCTGCCTGTCTTGGATAAGTCAGTGGGACTCAGCAGTGCAAGCTGGCTCTCTCTGCCTTCCTGCTGTGGTCATGGTCAGGAAACACACGAGGCTCCTGCAGCTCTGTTCTGGGACATGGAGGCAGCTTCCATGCCAGTTCTAGCTTACTGGTTTCCTCAGTTTTACCTGGAAGGCTTCCTGCTCCTTCTGCTAGATAATTTGTGAAGATTTCTCCAATGAGAAAGTCAGATGTTGATGTTATTACCTGTGGTGCTTATTATGGCTGCTTCAGCAGATGACCAGAGCCAGGTGACTAAACCAAGGGAAACATTAAGCAAAGAGTAAGAAAATACTTCCCTCTCACTCCGTTGGCTTTGAGTAGCTCTATAAGTTATTTGCAAATAGACAGCTGACCTGCACACTGAACAAGGTCATTTGAGCTGCGTGCCTCAGCCCCTGAAGCAAGCAGATGACCATTTAAAGGCCCTCCCGTCCCATATCTCTGAAAAAACTGCTCTGTCTGCCAGAGATGCTTTAGCTTTGGCCTCTCTATTCAGCACCGGGGGGCTCCCATGCTGCCTGGCATGGGGGTCCCACTGCTCCTCTACTTCTCAGGAGGAAGCAGAATGGAAAATTTTTCAGGGCAGACAGAGAAATCAGGCTTCCTCCTTTCTCCTGTCAGTTCCTGCAGTCATTCACAGCACACACACAGCTCGGTTTGTCTCTGTGCCCATGGCTGTGGCAATACTTACTCTCAGTTACAAGTGATTAGCAAAGCGTGCAGAGGAACTTACCTAACACAGAGGAGCAGAGGCAAAAACTCAGCACCCTTTTCCCCAGGCTTTTCCTATTAACAATCTACAAGCAGCGTCCCAGCTCTCCTGAGTTCCCAGCTCCAGACCCATCAGGATGTGCACCCAGCGGTAACAAAGAGCAGAAAGCAGGGCAGATTACCTCTGAGAGTCCCGTCTCCAGCCAACTGGGCATCCGAAAGAAGGGGGATCTCATCAGGAAGGGGCTGAGGCTGGGGGAAGTAGGGAGCAGCTCTGACTCCTGCAGGTGCTCTCCAAATATCTGGTCAAAGATACGGCTCGGTGTCAACCAAGAAAACAGAGGTCTGCGGATCAGGGGGTTGTGTATGGTGATATCCATCGGAGCGCGACGGAGGAGCCAAGCAAACGACTGCTGCAGTGCTGTGCCCAGCACAGGGGGCAGCTTTATACCCGCGTGGTTGGCGGGGCCTCTCCCCCCGAGGCCTCCCGAATAGTGGTGTCAGGGATTTTATTGTCCCAATCCGGGACTGGTCCCTTCAGCAGTGCCCAGGAGTGTCTGGGGGTTTGAACAGATTGCTAAGGAGGAGGGGGAAGGGGAGAAGAAGACAAGGAGACTAATGGGGCAGCAAGAAGCCAAGCTGCCCGGCTGCCCGCCCCGCGCCCCACGTGCTGTTTATCTGCTGAGTCCCAAGCAGGCTTGGCGGATGTTCCCAGCTGCTTCGGATGCCAGCAGGATCAATGCAGCTCCTATCTTTGGCTGACATGGAAAAGGACAAGGGGCTGTTGTTCCCTGTGACGGCACCATGGCTGCAGCTCCCCACTGCACCCACGCGCCTAGGAAAGGCTCTGCCTTCCCTTAAAGCGAAGGAAGCCACACGCCATAGCTGGAGGGCAACATGGACCCCAAAAGGTCTGTTGTGATGTACTCTGGTGTGCAGCTCTACAGACTAGTGAGCACCCTACATAAGCACCTGCTGGTGTGTGCACACTAAGGATGATTTCCACAGGGCATCAGGTGATACCTCTTCCTCTTTGCCCACTAGAGAAACCACTTTGCGGGAGAGAACAGAAGAGCCTAGCACTCTGCAAGCAGAGATAAAGCAGGAAACAGCAGCCCTGCAGAGCTGCACTGCTGCTTGCCTTCTCTGGTTTGCAAACTCCCTTGTTCTGTTTGCCCTGCAGCAATCAGTTCAGATCATGAGACTGGGTTCAGCCCAGCAGCTGTCTTTAAAGTACAAGAGCTCTGAGTATCTGCAACTTACATACAGCCTTCTGACTTAGGGGCACATCATTCTCACTGCTAGCACCATCAGTCCCCTGCAAAAGGGCCTGACCCTCTTCCTGTTCACTTGCCTGCAAGATTAGGGAGAATTCACCCTCTGCAGAAGCCCCAGCTGTACTTTGTCCAGTTCCATATTACGTCAGCAGTAGTGCACCTGCTCTCTCGCACTGCAGACATGGAAATCTCTGGTTTCAGAGTATGAGGAGCTTAACTGGGTACTACCTCCCAGTTCAATAAAAGTGGATCTAGGCCAGCTTCAGACCCTGCTTAATGTGTGACCTCCAGCACAGGCATTCTTCTGATCCCACTGCACAGCACTGAAGCCCTGGCCAAGGCACAGCCCAGACAGCTGGCTCACAGTGGCACAGTTCTGGAGTGTCAGCATCAGGGTCTGCTTAGTGCCACTTAACAGTCTGCAGCACCTTACCACTCCCAGGAACAAGAGACTCAGCTTCAGGGGAAAACAAATCCCTTTCTCTGGGGCTGATTTGAGGGCTAAGCTCACAACCATGGCTTTGCATGACTGCACACAACCTCACCAAGCACCAGCCACCATTAGGCATTGTCCTGTCCCCTGCTGGCTTGGCAGGGGCAGCTGGGGGCCCAGTTCCTGTCTCTTGTCCCCTGCCCAAGGCAGGGAATCAGGAGGTGCAGGATTGCACCCCGCTGACAGGCAGAGCCTGCAGCTCTACAGGAATGCAATGAGGCGCTTCCCTCGTCACCCTGGCGAGGCGGCCCGGGGCCTGGTGCAAGGCTATTTTGGTCTGTCTTTTTATCACACACTCCTCCCTGTGGAATTCACCCAACTAAAACCTTGCAATCTGCAGCCTCCGCTCTCAGAGGCAGCGAGTGCTTGGACAGGCCCCTTCCTCAGCTCTCCATGGCTGCGCGGACGGTGCCCCACGCCTACCCCATGAGCTCAGAGTACGAGTTCGCCAACCCCAGCAAGATCTACGACCAGAACTTTGGAGAAGGTAAGCAGGGAGATGGGACCCCCGGCAGCTCTCTGTCTTTGGGTGCAGGAGGCTGGCACAGTCCCTCTGGAGAGGAGCTTCAGGAGCCAAGGAAGCCCAAGCATGGGAACCCAGGCAAAACCAGAAGGATAGCCTAGGCACAGCCAGGAGCTCTCTTTAGGTCCACCTCCTCCTTCCACGCCCAGTGCTGGTTCCCCTGTCCCTTTCCTGTGCCCCCAGGGTCTGTTCATGCACATGCTCTGCAGCAGGGAGCAAAGCGTTGTCCCCTCATGCCCCCCCCACCTCACCACACCCCACAGAGGCTGTGACTGTGCAGGACATGTCCCAGTGCTCTTCTCCATTGCCAGGGGAGGTTGCACCCTGCTCATGGGAGAGGTGTGTCAGCAGCAGTTCCACCTTGCCCACAGCAGGATGGGGGGGAGGGAGTTTAGAAAACTACTGCTGGGGGAGGGGGAGGGGAAGATTTTGTAGCCGGGAGCAGTGAGAAAAGCTGAGCTGGGGTGTTAAGCACAAAGCCCGGCAACGGTTGGCAGAGAGGAAGGAATGTGGGCAGCAGCAGAACCATTCAGCATCGGCACAGCAGCGTGAAAAGGCAAAAAGATCCAAGGAAAGCCCTCTGGACAATGGCAAACAAAAGGCCTTTAGTTCTTCAGGGCAGTGTCTTCACCATCAGCATTTTCCATGCCCAGCCCCAGCAGCGGGCTTTGCATGCTGAGCACCCAATGCACCCACCAGTCCCTTCCAGTCCACCCAGCAGATGCCCTAGCTGGATGTCAGCCCTCAGCTTATGGCAGAGGAGCCTTTGGTACTGAGTGTGCACTCTGGAGATGCAAGGGTAGGAAATGGCAGAGCCTCTGTCCCCATTGCAGAACTGACGCAGCAGCAATATCAAGGTGTTTGCAGGACCCAGCCTCCCTGCTTCTCCATCCCTTTCCCTGGGAAATCCCCCACTTCCCACTGGGTCTCATTCCTAGGTGTGTCCCCATGTGAGATTTTAGCTCCTGCCCTGTACCACGGCTACTACATCAGGCCTCGGATCAACAAGCAGCTGGATCGAGGCACCTCGGAGGTCAGCCTCAACGACCACAAGTACGAGGTGTTCCTGGACGTCTGCCACTTCCTGCCCGACGAGCTGACAGTGCGCACTGTGGACAACCTGCTGGAGGTGGTGGGGCAGCACCCCCAGAGGGCTGACCGCCACGGCTTCATCTCCCGGGAGTTCACCAGGACCTACATCCTCCCGCTGGACGTCGACCCCTTGCTGATGAGAGCCACCCTGTCCCACGATGGCATTCTGAACATTGTGGCACCCCGAACAGGAAAGGAAGTGAAGGCCAGGATCATTGAAGTGAAGATAATCCAGGAGCAGACAGTGGGGCAGGAAGAACAGTCTGAGGAAGAAAAAGGGAAAGAAGAGTCCTAAAGGCCCCAAAGCTGGGTTTGAGCAGGGAGGGGGGAGAGGCAGAAAAGGGAGTCACTGTGCCAGGCCTCTGTTTCTCACCATCAGTGTTTAGAAGGGCTGGAACACAGCTGTGCATATGCCAGACTTCTGCTTCTTAAGGCTGATGATCAGAAGAAGGGGCTTGGAAATGAAAAAAGAGGGGGACTAAAGTGTTCATGGAAGGGACTCCAATGCAAGTTTTTCTCCTGGGTGCCCAGTGAGCACCATGCTCTTCTCTCACCCCACACTGCAAGGGCTGCTCTCGCCCAATGCTCTGAGGCTGTGCACCTGCCCATGCAATCCCAGCACCTTGCTGGTGCTGGCCTTTGTGCAGATGCAATGCTGTTAAGTACCCACAGCTCTTGAATGGAAAGAGGAATAAATCTGCCTCCAAGCTTCACTCATTTGCCTTGGACTCACACTGCTCCTGCCCACATTACTGTGCAGCAGGAAGGACGGATGATGCCTTAGCAGCTTGGAATGCAAGGAGCAGAGCAGTGGAGAGTTCACTCTGAACTCGTCTGGAGAAAAGTCCCATAAATGAGAGATTTGCCCCTTTAGCAGACATGGTGATGCTACCAGCTACATGAGAAACGTCTTCACAGCCCTGTGACGTGGGACTGGGGATCGGGTGTGCTGCTGTCAGCGGCAGCTGCTGCGCAGCCAGCCCCAGGGTTCAGCAGGCGTCAGGCACAATCCTTGTCGGTGCCAATTAAAGCATCCAGAATGCTGTGTCACCGGCCAAATATGGGGACCCTGGCACAGCTCAGTGCAGCCCTCCTAAGGAGAGAGAAAAGCTCCGAGGTCCCCATGGACAAGCTTCCTCCTGTCAGAATGTGGCTGCAGTCTTCTGCACTCCTCTCTGTGAGGAAGGAGGGCCAGTAAATAATTCAGATGATGCCAAAATAAAAATCACCTTTACAACAGGTTTTGTCTAGGCTATTAGTAATAATTTCAGAGATAATCCCACATTAATGACTTCCAGTCACCTGCTTGTAAGAGCAAGAACTGACAGGTCCTTCAGGAGCGGACTGTCCCACTGTGCCCCCAGCACACACCCCGTCCCACTCACAGCATCCACCCAAGCCCCTGCAGCAGTCACAGGGCCTGGGCTGGGTCTATGCAGGGCACGGGTCCTAAGAGAAAAATGCCTATAGCAGTTCAGAGTTCCCTCTGCGGTGATGCCAGCTTGCCTTGCACCCGTACCTATCGCAGCACATTCCCAATCTGTGACACACTGCAGTGCAAACGCACAGCAATACAACCATTACACAGTTCTCGTCCCTCTCTTAAGAGCCCCATCCGCTCTCTCCAGCAAGTTCATTCCTCACCGCTGGGCACTCGCAGGCTCGCGCTGTGCCAGGCTCGCAGCCTGTCACCCAGACAGGCCGAGGGCAGCTGCCGGGGTGGGGGGAGGGAGGGACTGGCACTGCCTGGTGCCACCCGGGGCTGCGCCCGACGCTTGCTGCTCGGTGCTGGAACCAGGCGGCTCCCGTCGTGCTGACGGGCTGCAGGGGAATGCGGAGCGGCAGCCAAGGGCTCCCCGGCTGTGCCAATGTTTTCAATGCCTTTCTGTTTCTCCAGTGGAGCTCAAAGCAGCAGCTCCAGCGTTTGTGTTTGGGGCTGATGGGAAAAGGCTCCCAGCCTCTTTGTTTTTTCTCTCCACAAAGCAACGTAGTTATCCCAGAAATCAAAACAGTGGCTCACTGAATCAACAGCGTCTGTGGACAAACCCTGAGACACAGAGTCTGCAGTTTCCCAACGGTACTCAGATTCCTGAGACCACCCGGCCTGTGCAGCAGCCCAAGAACTGGTCCTGCTGGGGGCAGGGCTGAAGCCCACCCGCCTGCATCAGTCAGGCCCAGGTTGCAGGACTTTCAGTAGCCCAGCTGCACAGAGCAGCAGATTCAGCTCAAGACCCTGTGCAGCTTGCAGTGCAGCTCCCCCAGGAGAGCAGCCATGCCCCTGGCTGAAGCATGGTAGAATTCTCCTCCTCCTTCCGCTGCTGGGAAGCCCCAGGCTTTGCTCTGTGCTCAGGCAGACAAGCGATGCTGGGAGACTGGGAGCAGGGCTGCCTCCCCTCAGCCCACCAGAAGGGAGAATGGGAGCTCCCCCAGCTGTCAGCACATCCCTTGGAGTGTTCAGACCCACTCAGAACTGCCAAATTGAGGCTGTGGGGCACAGTTTCTGTTCCAGTGCAAAATCAACAATACTTTGACATTAAGTATTACCTCAACAACCAGATGTGCTCTATAAACCTACTCCCACTTCTGCTGGGCCACTGCCTCCCTCGCAGGTGATCCACTCCCTTCCCCAGGTGATGCCACACATTTTCCAGACATCCCACTTGATACGCATGAACAGAACTGACAGCTCCTGTTCTCCCTGAGCTCCCACTTTAGAGCTCCTCTTGCGCAGGAACACCTGAATCCCTCCTGCACTCCTTCCCTGCCGGCATGCCAGGAGCGGGGCAGCTGAAGGCAGAATTCCAGCCCTAGGCCTGGCCCCGGGGGACGGCAGCTGCCCCTCCCAGCCCCGGGCAGCCGGCGGCAGCCCCCCGGTAGATGGCACGCACGGGCCCGGCGCGGCGGCGAGAAATCTGATCCTGCAGACACTCCCTTGGAATAGGCAGGGGACGAGCGGGGAACCAGGAAATACAAGCCGTGCCCGTGCAGAGAACGCTCCGGCTTCATGGAGGAAGGAGCGACATGGGCAACCGCTGCAGCTGCGGGCGCCCGTGGTGAGTACGGCGGGGCGGGGGGCGGCGGCCGGAGCCAAACTCGGGCAGCGCTCAGCAGGGCTGCAGCGGGGCTGCTCCTCGCACCTGCCGAGGCGGGGCGGGCCGGGGGGCTCGCCTCGTCGGTGCTATAGCTGGGTTCTGCGAGGATCGAGTTGAAATCCTTAAAAGTTCCCCAGCGGAGGTAAAACCTGCAGGCTGTGGCACTGCCCCTAAGGGCAGCGGCCCCCCCAACCCGGGCCGCGCCGTTCAGATGCTGTCAGGCTCCCGAGAGGAGGGGCGGCTCAGCCCCCGCTCTCACGCTTCGCCGGCGCGGCGCACGGGGTGGTGCCGGGTGGGAACACGGAGTGCTGAGAGCGCGGGGAGAGCTGTAGGTATCAGGTGAAGCGCAGGAGGCTTTCTCTCCAACACTGTATTTGCTCAATAATAGAAAATCATCGGAGCTTTTTAATAATTAAGAGGCACAGCATCACCTAGTGGCTGGAGCCGAAGAGAGAGTTTGTACACCCGGAGTCCGGGGTTCAGGAATAGGAATTGCAGATGGAAGGGGGGAAGCTGGTTCTAGAAATCTCCTTGTCTTCCACTTCCTCTGCCCTATGGCAGGGGTTAAACAAGGTGCCCAAGGCACTCTCTTCAGGCTGCAGTGAACAAGAGCCTACACAGGCCCCTTGGAGCACAGAAAGCACCATCAGCACACACCGTGTGGCACCCCCAGGTCTGAGCAATGCCAGGCCATGCGCAGACACTTCTGCCTCATAAAGAAAGCCTAAACCCAGGCTGGATGGTCAGCTGCCCAGACAGGGCTGAGCAGGAAAGCAGCTCTCCGCTCTGCCTGGGGAGCAGTGTGGTGGCAGCCTGGCTGCAACTGCCACTTCAGGGTCAGTGCCAACTTCTGCTGTCCCAAGGCTGCAGGACCAGGACTGCTGCGACCTTCTGGGTGTTTTTCCTAAATGGAGAGTTAGAAGCTGGGGTGTTTCTGCTGGTGGTGTCACCACAGTCTCCCTGCTCCCCTCTGGCAGTAGAGGACTAAGCTCTGGCCCAAGAGCCTTTTGCCCCAGCAGCCCTTGTGGGGCTCTCATGCTAACTCTTGCCCCATGTAGGGACTGAAGTGGAGCTCTCCCAGGAGCTTCTCACTGTGTCTTGCACAGGAAAGAACCTGGCTGAGGAAGGGCCTCAGGCTTGCAGGCTTCCCTACGCTGCACAGGCGGTGAACAGATAAGTAAGGAGAGTGGAAGGTAAATGAGTCTGTGCTGTAGGTAACATGGCTTGTAGGACACCCACAGACCACCATGACCAAGAGCAGACTGTGGTGCACTGAAGCCCCACTGCAGAGGTCTGCGTGATTCATGGCTTTGCCTTCGTGACAGAGGGAAAAAAGGTGCTGCTTATCTTAGTTCAGGTACTTCTGGGCACCAGTAATGCTTTTATTTCTAGGTATTTACTCAGCATCAGCAAAGAGCTGGCTTCCTAACTAAAGCTGAGACTTGTAAAAGGGGAGGTAGGTACCTGCCTTTTGTAGGGAAGGGAGGAGGCTCCTGAAATCTTAAGAAAATCCTTTTCAGCAAACTTCTTCAGAACAGAAGCTGTCAGTGAAAGAAAGCATGCCCTGGGGTCTGGGTGTCTCTGCAAGTTCAGCCCTGGGCAGGATTCTCACTTCACTCTGCATGGGCAGCAAAGGATGCCAGAATTTGGGGCTCAGCATGAAGCAGAAATTAGGTTGGTAATGACATGGGGAAAGGAGAAGCAGCGGTGCAGGAGCAGGGACACATGCTGTCATGCAGAATACAGCATGCATCCAGCAGGTTGTCAGTTACAGCACGTCTGACCTGGTTTTGAGAAGAAGAGGGGAGAGGTTTGCCTTGCTCCTTTCCCTTGCCACATCCATTGTAATTACTGCAGATCTGAGGCAGAGAGATGCTGTCTCCTGCCTGGCTGTGATTAGCCTGCAGACAGTCTCAGAACAGACTACACGCTGGCTGCTAACGCTCACTCTGCAAAGAAAGACAACCAAAACAAGCCAAGGCGGTTGGGAAAGCTGGGGCTGGAACGTGCCTCCCAGCAAAGAGACTTTGGACTCTGCTGAACTTACTTCACATGGTGCTGTTTTAATTGCAGCCCACAACCTGACTGCAAAGATGCAAAAGCTCCAGCACAAAGCCAGGCAGGGAGGGTCCTGGAAACCCTGCGGGCTCATGGCAACAGTGGAGGGAGATCTACAGGTGGGAACCACACCAGGACAACACCATAAGAAGCAGAGCTGAATCCTTTTGTACAGCCCCTGCATTCCCCAGAGCTACCCTTGATTTCCCAGCTCCTGGTTAATAATTACCATCTGTTTTGAAGGTCTCCTGGTTCTTTGTCATTCCTTTTCTCCTTTTGCCATTAGAACAGCAAGCTATTACCACACACTCAGCCCTGCTCTGTTGCTCCCAAAACTGCCTCTAAAGCTGTGCCTCAGGCACCTCTTTGCTCCTACCTGTGGCAGATCTGTCAAGCAAATGCACGACATGCTTTGGACCGTGGCTGATCTCTGGGAGCTCTCCAGCCCCCTTCAGAGCCCTGGCTGCTCACATTCAGTTGCGCTGCAGGCTCTGTTAAGTGCATGTGTGTGCAAAGGAGCAGCTGCACCAGGGCTGGCACCTGCTCCCTTCCAGCCATACGAGCATTCTGCAAGGATAACATTTGCTTCATGCTGCAAAGACAACATTTGTCTCATGCATCTGGCCTGGAATGTGACACGTCTCTGCTCTGGCCATGCTGCCCGGCCAGCACCAGACTGTGGAAGTTTGGCTCTGCTGTTGCATACAGAATGAATTTGGCTCCTATTTGCGCCATGGCTGGGACATGGTTGTGTTTGGCTTTTCTCTCTCTGGTCACACAGGTACGGACAAGATTTGTGTTTGGCTTGGCTTATATAAAGTGTGCAACTTGTTTGGTTTGGTTGTGTTTAAGTGGAAAACTGCAATCAGGAAAAACACGGTCTGAAAGATTAAATTAGCATGTTGGCTGTGCACAGCTAGCTGCTCGGTGGGCAAGGAAGCCGAAGCATGGGCTATCAGAGCTTCTTGTTCTAAGACAAATGTTTCATGCTAAGGGGGATCATGCTCAGTATCCTGTAACTTTGATCATACAGCTGTGGAAACATAGTTGCAGTGAAATATGTTCTCCTTCACACTGATGCCTGTGCGTAACAGGACTGCCAGACAGGGCTGAAAGGCAAGGAGTCTTGGGGGTGTCTGTAGTGTGTAGTAGAGGAGTCATTGAAGAGGGACCCCTGGACCTTTTCCCTGCAAAATTCACTCACATTCAGAAGGTGTCTCATTCCCTCAGCAGGGCTGGAGCCTGCACAGATGCTCACAAAGCTCTGAGTGGAACTTGGCAGTCCCAGACACCCAAATAGGGGTGGTTGGATTGGGGGGAGGGGAAGGAGGGGCTCTTGGATTTCCCTGAACAAATGCAGAATGTTGGGGTGTGCTTCTGAGTGTGATGAAGGCAGATGGTGAAGCTTCTGAGGCTGACATCTCTCTCTGATTCCAGGAACTGTCCTTCGCTTTTTAAAAGGAAGAAGGAAAAGCAAGGTAAGGATTTGTGAAGATGCTCTAGAGTGCAAGAACAGTGGAAGTAAATCAGTCCCTGGATAGCTGGCATTCATCAGCGCTGGCTGCAGATGGATCCCTTAGCTGAGGCCCTCTCCCAAACTCTTCCATACTTGACCTTTCTCAAGAGAGATCTGACAGAGGCAAAAGGCAAATTTCATTGAAATTTAAAGCAGGGGCGATATAAGCCATGGAATTTGGCAAGAGGATGGGAATGGGCTTCACTGGTATATCTAAAATATCTGAGTTGTGCACATAAAAATGTGTAAGTACCCTGTTGTGCAGCACAGCAGGAACTGAATCAAACTCCCATAAGAGCTGCAAACATTCATCTGACATCAGTGCCTAGAATAAAGCAGGGAGGAACTAATAGCCCAGTTGTGTCCTGTGGCCTTTGGACCATGCTGGGCAAAATATGTTTGCAGGCAGCAGAGGAAATAACAAAGTTAAAACTGGATCTGACTTCTCCAAAGGCCTGACAAGGAAGCTCTCTGTGCTGTGTACATCCTTCTGGGTTCTGCCAAGAACATTGCGGTACACAGCATGTTGTCATCCCAGGAAACCTTATTTTTTCCAAAGAAACAAGCCCAGGCTTTCTTCTGGGAGACAGGCCTCAGAGACAGCATGAGGGCTGAGGATGTCAGATGGGGTGGAAATTTGATTCGCATCCAGGGGAGAGAGCCCATGTGCCAGATGCTGCTTTTTGGAACTCAAAACTGGAACAATAAACAGTTGTGTTAACCTGATCCGCCGGTGTCTCTTTTTCAGGAACCAGTGTGAGACATGAGAGCCAACAGCACCAGCCTGGCAGGAAGGTAAACAGCTTCATGGGGTTGTTTTCTGACTGGATGTTGGCAGAACGGGGTTAACCATCGCTTCCTAGCCTAGAGGGGTCAGGCGCACATGGGCTGTTCATTCAGAGCTGTGACATCTCATCCAGTGTAGGCTGGGAGGGCTGTGGGAGCGACGTGCATTGCTGCACAGTGATACAGGCCTAGTTTTTCTCACTGATCTGTAAAAGATGCAGTAGGATGATGCCTGTCTCTGAGTCTGAGGTGTCAGTGGGCTGGGCAGTGCAGGGGCAGCATGTAGGGCATGCAGGTCCAGTTGACTCTGATCTCTTTTTCCCAAAGCCTCCAGCGCATGAAAATGTCACGGAGTTTCCAGTCTATGCTACTGTGAATAAACCTAAGAACACAAAGCAGGACGACAGCATTCATTATGCAGACATCCAGGTGTTCACCAAGGTGCGGGAGCGCTCTGTGGAAGAGGTGAAGAACTTGCAAATGCAGAATGCCACAGAGTATGCCACCCTCAACTTCCCCCGGCCCAGACTGAAATACGACAGCAAGAATGGGACCTTGGTTTAAAAAGCTTGGTAGCCCCTGCCTCCTTCAGCAGCTAATGGATTCCACAGGCGTAAAGATGCTGCAGGCTCAGGCTAACTTCATGAACACATCGAGCCTGCCTGCAGAGCAGAGCGGCTGCGTCTTCCACCTGCACGAGAACACACACATTTACTCTCACATGAGGAGTAGTCGCCTCTGGTTCTGCTGGTCAAAAACCAACCTGTTCCCCTTGGCTCTGCACAGCTCTGTGTGGGAATGCAGCATACAAGATTCTGTTCTGGGGCAAGGGAGATGTTGCCATGGGATTTTATGCTCATATTAAGAACAGAATGTGGTTGATAGCAGGAGGAAATTGCATGGAAGTTCTAGCTGTAACTGCTGTAAGGTCTTCCTCTGGTACCAGCCGCTGCACACTGCAGTCATGCACATCGTGCATCTCCTTTTCTCAGAAAGCAGTGTCTTCCCACCATGCACGGCACACTGAGGCCAAGGTCGGAAATGCAGAATTAACCAAGGGGTACAGAACAGTTCCTTCCATTGAAGGGTGGTACCAATTAACTAAGAATGTTAACTGGTCAATGCTTAATTGGTTAATTGGTTAGTGAGCTCTTTTCTCTGAAAATGAAAGAAGGAAAACCTGCAGCTTATCTGAAAGGCAGCCATTTAAAGCCACTGCCTATATTCAGGGTAGTTACCCAGTCCTTGGGCTGCAGTAGCTGTTTGCATGCCTGAGACGCTGTGAATGAATCCTGGACAATTTTAAAGAGGGCTTTGCACTTTTTCTCCATTCATTTTTTATTTTGTGTTATCAGCCTTAGTTATAAAACCTTGCAACATAGAGTACATGCCATGTGGTGTCTTCTGCTAAAGCTCCTGAAGACACTTTGGAGAATATGCTTATGGGTTTAAAATAGTGTTAGCAATGCAGGACAGCAACTGTCCACAATCTTCTACCACAGGGCTGTGTCTGACAGTTGTGGTGTTGGGAGCTGAGAGGGCTCCCAAGCAGTGTCCTCAGGCCCTGAGTCAGTAGTTGGCACAGTCTGTTCCTAGGTAATAGTCTGCACGGCCAAACACAGGTCCTGGAGCAACCTGTTTATTGCCAGTGTTGAAAAATGGACATCTGGTACCTTTTATAAATGTGCAATGTTTTGCATATTATGGCTCATTTAAATGTAAAAGAAAAACCATGAGGGAGCTCCTCCTTGTAACAATAAAGCTGATGTGGGTACTGTGTGCTAAGGCAGAAGTGCTGTGAGGACCAGTCCTACAACCTTTCTATCTGAGCAGGTCTTCTTACTCGCGCTGTCCAGCAGACAACATCAGGGCTATTATAAGGCCAGACTTTTTTAAATAATGAATGGGAACAGTCTCTTTTTCTACCTGAACAGGATATTCTCTTTTTGCCCACGCTACTGAGCTGAGCCCAGCTGGCTACTGGAACGCCTGCAGAATAAGACACAGAGCCATTTAGGTTGCCAAAGATCCCCGTATCTGAGCGCAGCCCATCCGCCGTGCCCACTGGGCGCCCCTCGGAGGGCAGCCTGCTGAGGTGCGCCGTGGCCTGGAGGTGGCCCAGCACCCTGAACGGCGGTAGTGATTCGGCTCGATTGCCAGGCCCCGAACTGATCAGAAGCCGAAGTCTGTTCTGAAGTTTTTTCCTAAAAGCCTTGTTTTTGCACTGATTAACAGGCTCCAGCAGCCTGTCTCCTACGTTTCCCAAGAGTGTTGATATATCGAACACTCCTTGGACATTAAAGATAAGATTTTTGAATCGAGCTGATCGACTCACACTTCCTTTCCCCTCCCGTCCTGACGGGAGGACGCGCCTCACGTCTTCCCGCCCCCGCCCGCTTCCCGCCCTCCGGCGGCCGCTCCGCCCCGCCCCCACCCGTCCCCATGGCAGCGGCGACGCGCGCGGGCCGGGCGCAGGTAGGGCGGCAGGGAGCGGGCTGGGATCCGACCCGGAGCCCCGTTCTCTCTGAGAACCCCCTCCCCGGGGCTCCTCAGCTCCCGGGCCCCATCCTGCCCTCTGGGGTTCCCCTCTTTCCCCGCGCTCCGGCTGCCCGGCCTGTCACTCGTTCCGTTTTAAATTAGCAATTCCCATTGCTGCGTTGGCAGTGCTGATTCGGATTCCTCCTCCAGGAGTGGGGGAGATAGTTGGGTCCCACGGGTGCTACAAGCCGACGTCATCGGGAATCCTGTGTACATGTTCTGAAGGAATCCTGTCCACCATCCTCGCTTTACGTGTGAAAGAAAACAAAAGATGTGTAACTTCCCCCAGATCCACGGACGTTAAAACTCAAATATATTTTTTTCTACAGAAGGCAACAACTTTCTGCCCTGGATCCCACCGCAGAGGGGAATTGCTGCCTGCTGTAGGACGGTACAGAGGGGTGCATCCAGGCACCGCACTGCCGAGTCCGTTCCCGCCCTTCGTGTTTGATGCCTTTGCTTCTCCCCCTCAGGACTGCGGACAGAAGGCGGGCCGTGCTGCTGGCGCGCCCCTGCTGCGCTGAGCGGAGCTGCGGCACCTGGCATGGGAACGCGGCTGGGCGCGGGGCTCCATCCCCCACCGCAGCGTGCTGCGGCGTCTGTGAGTGAGACCGCTCTGCGGGAGCTTTGTGGGGAGGTTGGGAGGGGCACCCTGTGAGCTGTGCTTCTGAATCATAGAATCACTGAATCGCAGGATGGCTTGGGTTGGAAAGGTCCTCGAAGATCATCTAGTCCCAACTCCCCCACCATGGGCGGGGTTGCTGACATCAAGGACTGCCTCAGGCTGCCCATGGCCTCATCCAGCCTGGCTTTGAATGTCGCCATGGTGCACCCACAGCTCCCTGGGCAGCCTGTGCCAGCGCCTCACTGCCTCACTGTGAAAATCTTCCACTGACATCTAATCTAAATCTCCCTCCTTTCGTTTAAAACCATTCCCTCTTGTCCTATCACTGCCTACCCATGTAAAAAGTCATTTTCCCTCCTGTTTATAATCTCTCTTTACATACTGGGAGGTCACAGTGAGGCCTCCCCACAGCCTTCTCTTTTCCAGACTGAATAAGCCATGCTCCCTCAGCCTGTCTTTGTAGGGAAGGTGCTCCAACCCTCTGAGCACCCTGGTGCCCTGTGCCCTTTCCTCAACATCATTTCTGTGCTAAGGGCAGTACTCCAAAGGGGCCGTACAAGGCAGAGTGAAACAACCACCACTTTGCCCTGCTGGCCATTCCTCTTTTAATGCAGCCCAGGATACTATTGGCCTTCCGGGCTGCAAACAGACGCTTGCTCACTCATGTTAAGTTTTTCATCTGCCAGGACCCTCGGGTCTTTCTGCACAGGGCTACTTTGAAGGAGTTTTCCTTCCATTCTGTGTGCATATCTGGGATTGCTCCAACTCAGGTGCAGCACTTTGTACTTGGCCTTGATGAACATTGTTAGGTCTACATGGGCCCACCTTTAAAGTCCTTCAGAGTCCCTCTTGATGGCATCCCTTCTTTCTGTTGTATCAGCTGCACCGCTCAGCTTGGTGTCTTCCAAGGTGCTTTGTCCTGCGTCTTGCCCAGCATTCAGCACGACGGTTATGCTGAGAGCGGCCAGGAGAGGGCAATGCTGCCAACCAAACCTGCGCTGCGTGTTCTGAAGGTCAGCAATCAGGAGCCATAGAGCCAAGATCCTTTTTGCATCGCTGCCTCCCATTCACTTCATTTTGGAATTGTTTTTCAGGAATTTTAAAAGTCTTTCTGGAAAGTAAGAATTACAATGAATTATTTTTAGTTGAGAGGACCATTTTTTTTTTTTCTTATTGCAAATAAAACATTCAAAAGGATCTTTTACGATGCCTATAAAGTGAAAGAAAAATATCCCTGCTACAAGAAGCCTGATATTAAAGAGTGAAATGCAAAAAGGGAATTTAATTTTTAAAACTTATTTTCAGCACACACATGTACCCCATTTGTGTTACCACAATAAATAGAAGAATGGCCCAGCATATCTGCCACTCACTCTATCCATCAGAACTGGCCTAGTTTCTATTCTCTGATATTCCTGTTGTCTAAGAAAAGCAGTTCTGTTTCAGAGATAATGTAGAAACAAATCTTTTGATGACAAAATCTCCGATGGACAGCAGGCTGTGAGCAGGTCTGTCCCTGGACCTGCCATGAGTAAGGAGAACGCCACCCGCTGCCATGTTCTAGTGGGTGGAAGCTCCTTGGTAGCATTATGAAATTGAAAGCGATCACCTGAATTTCAGATTTCAGTCCCAGCTTTTGTTGATCCAAAAAGGAAGGCAGAGGAGGGTGTCCGACCCGAGCATTCACTCCAATCCAAGTGAAATTCTTCACAATTCCCCCAATATGTTCAGCTGACGATCTTTTGCATTTCTCAGGGATGGCACTACCATACTACAAGTGACACATCTAGCTTTAAGTCCTTTGTTTTGTGCCAGGAAATGGGAGAATGGGGAGTAGGGTGAGAGAAATGCTTTCCAATATAACAAAGATTGTTGTTTCTTAAGTCATTTCCACTGAATGCCACCAAGGTCCATCATCAGTGAACTCTTTTTGCAGACTATCAGCTTATTATGATTTAAACAATACCTTTTACACATTAAATTATTTTACGTTTTTTGTTTCTCTGCTGTTTTCACAGATTATCTCTTTATCCCATTTTGAAATCCTGAAAATTTGGGTCATGTCTCCAGTACAAAGTCTGTGGTGGGGGACTGTCTGCCTGTGGCTTATCTCCTCTTCAAAGGACAAGTGTATCTAGAGCTTGTAGGGATTGTGAGCACATAATTCTTAATCTGCTATCAAATTCATAAAACCAATTCCAAACACAATCAGAGAACACCTCGCGGCCATCTGTCACCTCTCCATACAACCAAAGTACATTTGGTTTCACTGTAGTACTTCTGCAGTTTATCTGGATTTGTCTGTGTGTGTGTGTTTACTTCCAGAAATTGAAGGGATGGAGGGAAGGGATGACCTCAGTATTCTTACCTGTAAATGTCTTCCATGAACGTATGTTTGCTGTGCAGCATTGAGAAACAGTTAATAAATATAAATTTCTTTGAGATTATTATAAAGTTCACAGAAAAGGCTCAAAATTAGTTTTGTTTTTCAAATGAAGTCACCTGCTGATGGAGAATCCGTTCACTCAGGTTTTCTATGAAGTGTAATTGAAATTGTAAGGCACAACCTGCTTGTCTGCACTGTATAAATGGGGAGAAATATTTCCTGTCATCCAGTTAATGGTGTTATGAGTCATTTTGAGTCTCCAGAGCAAATTGGCTCAAGGTGCTAACCACCAGCATTGCCTCCTTGCAAGATTTTTTGCAAAGATTCACAGTACTGTATTGTTTTGCTTAACAGATGTGACATAGCAATTAAAGAAAACAAAAGTCTCAGTTCCTACTGAATCTGGAAAAGTAAATAGGAAAGGCAAACAGGAATATATTAAAACTCATGTCACGAGTGGCGAGTGACTTGTTTTTCAGTTACTTGTCTTGGTTGTAGAAGGAAATTAGCTGCTGCTCGTTTTTCTGTATTTTACCTACATCTTCCATATCTGACAGAGAAAACACTAGAATGGTAAAATTATGTAATGGTTTTTTCCTCCAGAGCCTTCCATACTTAGGCAGAAAAACAAGTTTGTTTGTCCCCTTAGATATGGTTTGCCAGGTATTCAGAGCCCTGAAGGCGTGGTGCGTTGCTGGGCAGTGTTTGCTGTGCTGCCCAGCAGGACTGGCAGACAGCCCCTGGCAGGAGGGGTTCTCCATGCTTTCCTTCTTTTTTCAGGGCACTTCTTGTAAGCTGAGATGAAGTTTGGGAGATTGCCTGAAGATATTTGATACATTTTTTTCTGGAATGAATGTAGTTACTATCGATTTAGAAACTTTGCTGGGGTTTGTATTTAATTCTAATTTAAAGCTTTTGTCCTTATTTCTTTTTTCATCTTCATTGCCACAGTGGCTAGAGTGGAGCCCAGCACTGTGCAAATGTTATTTGCTGCACTGTGGCCTCATTTGCAGCTTCCTGTCTCTACAGGGTTGCTAAAAATGGTGCCATTTTTTCGGGGCTGTGAAGCAATTGCTGAGAGTTTAAGCTGGCCAGCTCTTACAGTCTTTCCTCTCTCTTTCTAGCTAAGCAAGGCATCTGCTATTTGCTGACTCGCTCCCTGCCCCCACGCCGGACAGGGCTGGCTGTGTTTGGTGGGTTTGAAAACCTCTTTTCCGCAGCAGTTTTCGTGTGAGTATGACTGCTGGAAATAGGTTTCAGATGTTTCCCCAGCGCAGCGCTTGGGCTGCATCTTGTAAGCTGAGGCGTTTCTATAGGAACCGTATGACATCTCTCGCTGCTCCCCCAGCAGCTCTCTCGTGAGCATGCCCAGTGCAAGCCCTGACTTTGGCTCAACTATCTGCGTGCACTAACGGGCTGCACATATGGGATACGAATGCGGTTCCTGATGAGCTCCAACTCTTTGTCTCTGGGAGGAGGAGGAAGAGGCTGTGCCCTGAGCTGGAGGATCTGCCGTACACCCTCTGAGACCCTCACCCCTCAGTGGGCTCTTGGAGAATGCTTGCCTGCTTGGCTAGGGGGAATTTACTGGATATTCTGCAGGAGGGCTTCACAGAGGTAAATGCATGCCCCCAAATCCCACGCGGACTTTTCCAGGGTGAGGCAGTGTGCTTCTCTGCAGCATCTCTTAGGAACTGCCGTGTCTCCCAGTCCTCTGTGGAGAAGAAAAAGAGAAAAATGAGCAAGATTTTCCGGCCAGGGAGCAGGGAGAGCTGTTTACTAACAGAAGGCAATATGGGGCAGCTCCCCGGGGGGACTGCAAACCAGCAGTAGTTCTGAAAAGTTTGTGGCTGGATTACAGCTGATGATTTTATCTTGGAGATTTTATTTTCTCCACAGAGCTTTTACATTTGTACAAGAAAATAATATAAATTGCAGTGAGTTATGGAGAATGGCTTATTGTATGGAATGGATTCCTTTCTTGAGTATGTGAGGTCTCTGAATCTGACGGCTGTTAGAAAGCCTGTAAACACACAGCTTTTGGGAGAAGCTGACAAAGAGCATGGTGTCTTTGTGTTTCCCATCATCTTCTGTAGGTTGAATTTCAGAGAGACAGAAATTGACCTGACTCTGGAAAATATGTTTTTTGAAGTGCTCTTTATTTTTTTATTATTGTAGTATTGGGGAGACAGATAAATCGTAAGGAGTGAGAACTACCAAGAAGTTGCAGAGATGGGAATCCTGTGACTGCATGGGGAGGGCAGGTTGCCATTGGCTTTCCTGTTCAGGGAGCACAAGAAGTTGGTTTGGTCAGACTGTGTGCACTCAGTACGGAATGCCGGGGCAGCCGCTGCCTGGCTGCACTCATTGTGCAGACCATGCTGGAGCACCATAACCTGCCAGTAAACTGAGGAGGAAGGAATATCGTGAGGGCTCATGATGAAACCAAACAGTGGCTGCTATGTCTGTTCTCACACGGTGGCAGGGGTGGTCTCTTGGTGTGTTCTATTATTTCATATTTTGTTTGTGCTTCCTGGTTCTTCACCCCTTCATGGCCCAGACACCACCTTGTCTGTTTGCTCCCGTGCTCCCTCCATTCTTTACAGAAAATGCATATCCCTCCTGGGCTTAACACCACCGGTCATCAAGGGAAAAGCAAACTGAGTATGAAATGTGAGCCTCACAGCTTCATGCCAGCCACAGGTCTCCTCTGATTGCTCTGCTTGACCGTATAAATATTCCATTCCCTCCTCCACAGAATATCTCAGTCTTGCTTTTAGCTAGTAACGTATTGCTTTAGTTTAAGTTGCAGAGGCTTCCTGTTCTCAAGAGCAGCTGTGTTTCCCTAGTGTAAGCTAATCGTAATCCGTATATTAGTGAGAGCAAAGAACAATTTGATGTTCAGGGCTAGCCCCACTCAGAGCATCTGGTTTTACCCTTAGGCTGCTCAGCTGTGGAAAAAAGTCCTTCTCCCCCTCCATAAAAACTGACTTTCAGTCTCTTGTCAGACTTCATTTCACACAATGGACTGAGGTATGGCAGGAATTGCCTTGCTAACCCAGGGCCTGCTGTTCTTTTGATAAGCATCCTTTCGGCCCAGGTGACTCTTGGTGACTGGATACCTTGGAATACAAGGATGTGCTTTCCAAATCTGTGCAGAGGAGGTTAACATACACAAGTGTCATACTTAATCAGTGATTTTCAAGAGGAAAAAAAAAAAAAAAAAGCATCTTCTGCTGGTTTTGAGAGCAGTGAGAAACATCGTTTTCTTTGCTTATAAGTTTTTATAGTCTGCTTCTACAAAGGCCTCTTGAACGAAAGCAAAAGAAACCTCAGACTTGAGGGGTGCTGGGTGGCAAATTTCAGAGCTCATTTAATCAAGGTAATAATGTCAGAAAGCTTAGAAATTATACAAAGCCTTAAAATTACATCCTGATGCAATCAGTCTGTCCTTTGAACTCTGTTGTTGCAGACTTTTGGTTCAGTGCTCTAAACAGACAGCACATTAAATGCCTTTTGTACTGAGACCATTCTTATAGAACGAGGGCTATTATCTTTGACCTTGTTAGAGCTGGTGTTAAGGCAGCATCCACAGGCTATAACAGAAAAAAACAGAACGAAGATTACAAGAAGCATTATTCTTCCAGACAGAGTCCCTAAGTCTAACAGGAAGAATAGATCCATATTCGTCAACTGTGTGTGTAGAAAAGATGACTTCTCTTATAGAAGTTGGGAATCTAACATGACAGCAAGGATGTTAGGCCCTCTGAAAGCATCTGCCAACTACAAATGACTTTACCAAGAAATACGTGGACACCTTCAAAAAGTGCAATTCCCTAATCTCAAAGGAGGCGAAAATTTAACATGGTACAGAGCCATGTAGATGGCACTGAAGGTAAAGGACAGAGCAGTATGTCAAAGCACCATGATCTACCTATATTTACTGTAAGGCAGACTGGGCTGATGCATGGCTGAAAGAAACATGAGCCCTAAGCAGCAGGTGGTGAATTGCACTGCTTAAATGAGAACAGCAAAGAGATCTAGAACTGGCTGGAGATTTGCAATAAGCTGCTGCTTTTCTTCCACCTGTGGAAAATATTAGTTAATGGCTCTCAGTTATAATTATCTGTAAGGGCTCACGGAGCATGAGATAAAATGCTGACCCTGACAACACCATATAATGGGCTGTGGAGAGAAAGCACGAAGTAGCTCCTGATCTCAGCAGTATGCTTTCCAATAAGCAGGAGGTCTGGGAGCGTTCTTCAGAGTATGTGCTAGTGAAGTGTTATAAAATGAAATCCTGCACTGCAAAGTATGTTTGCTAAAGAACCTGTAATTTGCTAACAGAAATACCTGCATGTTGTTGAACTCCTTCCAACTGCAGGTGGCCCCTAGTATCCAGCTTTCAAATTCTTTTCCACTGTGAGAAGTCTGTTAGGGCTTCCAGAGTCATTTAGACGCAAGCACTCTACAGTGATCTGAATCTGAAGCAGTCTGGGCTCCAAGTTCCTGCAGGTAGGAGAGTTAGTCTTCCAGTTTCAGAGTGCAAGGAAACCTAGCCTTTTTTTGGAACGCAAAGCTCTGTTAACATAAATAGGATTAAGCTTAAGTCCACCACAATCCTGATAACCTCTGCTCTGTATAGCAAACCTTAGGCTGCTTTGTTTTTCCTCTGAAAATCCTGTTTTTGAAAGAAATGTTGGTGTGGGACTTGAGCTTAGTGTCTTCTCCGTTAAGTCAGGATTTAGGGGAACAAAAATTCAGACCAGCATGTAGAGAAGTAGCAGGAATCTCCTTGGTAGCAAATGGCTGAGCGCAGAGTTACTCAGGGAAAAGAAAGGACAAGCTAGGATGAAGCATTGCTGTTCCCTCTCTGATTGCTCTTGGATATAGCTGTCAGCCAGGAGTTGTTTGAGGTGAATGGTCTGGAGCTGCTGTTCTCCTGGCAGGATAGAGTGTAGCAAGTCTTGTTTTTTGTTTGTATGTGCTGGAAGATGATACCTGGGGCATTTTTGCTTTGCAACAATTTAGGACTCTTGGTCAAGTCACTAGCTCTTTAGTTTTTGGATATAAAATCAGGAAATAATGATCACTCCAACCATCTGAGCTTACACAGGAAAATCTTACGCTTTAGTGGAAAAAATATGTACTGTAAGTCTGCTAATGAAATGTCAGCCTCCAGTGTTACAGCAGCTACTGCTATGAAATTCTCTCCTTTGTGGTGGTAACATTCATCTTCCATTGCCTTCAAGTCCTCCTTTTAGCAGCACTGTTAAAAGTATAAATGTCCCAGTGATTTTCTTTTTGTTCTAATGATAACATTTTAATTCTTGTGCTTTGAAGACATGGAGACTAAAAGATTGCCAAAATGCTTTCTTATGCATGCATGAGGAATGAGAGAAAATAAAGTCTTTTTTTTTTCCATGGACTAGAAAAAGTACTTGAATGGAAGAGTCAAATAAACTCCAGTGTAAAATTGCAAGCTTTCTGCAGATGAGAAGGGATTTTGCCTCTGTGGAATTAATATGAGAGAACATTCCAGTTCAGAACTTTGTAAAATGATTTGAAAAATGACAGCAAGGCAGTCAGCCCAGTTGTTAGGAGATTACTTCCCCAAATTACACAGGCTTCAGGTACAATTTTCATGCAATTCCATTCAGTAGGTCTTTAGTATTGAATCTGGATAATTCTATAATAATGTGCTATTGTAAACAAGCCTACTTTATTTCTACTGGTACTTGCTTGAATAAAGCTTTATTGAATATAAGTAATAGAAGGATTGTGCTCTGCCTAGCTCTGGAATCAGACTGTTTTGAGATTGGGGGCGCTCAGATCCAGCATCAGTTAAAATACTGTTGCAAGACGCAGAACAGCTTCTTGCAGGTTGGCAAGAATGATCATCGCTGTTCTGGTAATCGACTCAGAATCATTCACTTGTACAGGAGAGAAGTTAGCAATTGTTGATTCTTCACAGTCCCCATTAAGTAGAAAGTAACTTCTGAAACAGAGCAGGCAAAACTGATGTGCACTGTTGCCGTTACAACGGAAGAAAAGCTTTCAGACTCAGTCCATGTGACAAGGCCACGTCTGCTCCAGCAAGCGTGCACCAGCTTTTCCAGTTCTGCTTTCTTTCCTTCCAAAAGCCAGCAGCAATCCCTGAAGCTCGCATCCTGTATCCCACTCTCCATCTCCGCTGAGTAAGCAGCAACAGCCTCATGGAGGTCCAAGCACCTTTCTGAGCCAGCAGACTGAGCCATGGTGTGGTTAATGTTGGATTTCCTATGTCAGGATAATTACAAGTGAAGCCATGATCAGATTGTGACTTTGATGGGTTGTAAAAGCATAAAATCTGACATTGCTGAGATAATACGGAATGAAGTCTTAAAACCTGCTGCATGGGCAGAATAATGGGAAGCTTAGTGAAACAGGATGTAATCCCATAAATGGATCAGTTTGTTTACCCTCTGTGTGCTACACCAGCCCAGCCCAAAGGGATTTCAGTGTCACCAGAGCCCCTGTTGGCTGTGGAAGTGCTGCAGGGGTGCGGTGGAAGGAAAGGCATTGAGGACCTTCAGGTTGCTGTCCCTGCACTTCTCCCACTCACCTGAACCTTGATTTTTCTTCCTTGCTGGCAATGCTCACAGCTGAATGAAGCAGCACCTAGTGTGACCCACTGGAAAGGCAGTGCTTTTTGCTGTCATGTCTTGCAGATGGTTAAGTGCTGTGGCAAGCCTGTTTGTTGGAGTACAGGGCTTTGTGCAGACAGGAACTTGGTCTTCTAGAAATGCTGATGCAGTTCTATGGCAGTGGAGCTGGGGAAGAAGCTGTACAACAGGGTACCCTTTCCCTGCTGAGTGGTGCATGTTCCCATGAGTGATCCATGCTACAGGGTGTGCTGCAGGGGAAGGCTGTTTTATTTTCCAGGAAATCCATCCTCGTTTATTTTGGTAGATAGTAGAGTTTAATAGGAAATAGCACAGATTTTTCTTGCTTCTGCACTGTGGGTTTTCTGCTTTATAGATACCTTGGAAAAAATGCAGTCGGCAGTGGGGCCATGAAATGCAGTGAGCAAATCAGTTCTGGCACTGTTGTGCTGCCTGCTTGCTCTTCCTGCCCTGGCATGGAGCGAGCTGCACCACAGTGTGCCGTGATGTCAGGGCCATGCTCAGCAGGCTTTGGGGTTCAGAAAAGTAACAACTATGCAACTCCCCTCTGAAATGGCAGTGATGTGCAAATGTTTTGTTTTCCATTTTCAGCAACAGCTACAGGCATATGTGGCCTGGGTAAATTCCCAGCTGAAGAAGAAGCCAACAATAAAGCCAGTCCAAGACCTGAGACAAGATCTCAGAGATGGAGTCATCCTTGCCTCACTTATTGAGATTGTAGGTCAGTAATGCCATATGGCACTATTTTTCATCTTGCTGTTTTAGATCTCCAGCAAAATGGGCTGGTCTTGGCTCTGACATCTGTTGGGCAAACTGGAGAGTGCTAATGATGGCAGTGGAGCTTGGGGGGAGGGTTACTTGGAAAGAAAACCATCGTAAAGCAAATCATAAAGACAATTCCATTAAAGGCCATATGTGTTCGCAGACAGCTGCAACACAGCCAAATTGCAGACCTTCTGAACTATGTTTGTGGTCTCTCAGGTATCACGTGACAGACACGTGGAATCCTTTCCAGGACCCAGTAACTCCCACAAGGCTGGAATGGAGTTATAGAAGGATTTATCTTATAAAGGACTGGTGTTAGCGTATGGCATTGTTGGAAGAGTGATCTGCTTGCTGTGATTCTGATATTCATAAGAAGTGAGAGCAGAATCAGATTTGAGGGATAATTCTGTCTCTCTCTCTGCAAAACAGTGTAATATTTCCACTCATAAGGTCAGTGGATCAGGAGTAGTCATGGAATAAGGAAGTACACTTGAAAATGCTTCTTTGCTGATAATATACTGTAAAGTCTGCTTCCAACCTAGCTATTCCTGGTACAAGGAGTAAGCAGGACAAGAAATGCATGTCTTCCTCCAGTCCCTGACTAGACGTAAAATCAGCCCCTACATCTATTATCAGTGCTTGAAGTGACACCAAACACTATTCTCTGTAATAAAATTTTTTGCTTCTTCAGCTGGTGAGAAGCTAAGTGGTGTTCAGGTCAACCCTACCAGTCAGCAGGAGATGAGGGAAAATGTGGAGCAAGTCTTACAGTTCGTGGCATCAAAAAAGATTCGTATGCATCAGACATCAGCAAAAGGTATGAGCCTGCCAGTTGTCACAAATGATTCTAAGTGTTGAAGGCCTAGTTCTATTTTTGTTCCATATGAAACAGACAAGATGTTGATTTGTGGAGGAGGGTTTTTTCCCGTGTAGTTTAGCAACAGAGTGATAAAGAGGTGACAGTCTGTGTCTTTTTTTTCCTGCTGGTTCTATTTTTCAGACACCAAAGCAAATAACCAGCCCTCATACTTCCAGTGCCTGTGATATTATTTTAAGGCTTTCAGAAATTATAATGTTCTGTCATTTAACCTGCTGGACTGTTAGTTGGAAATGGCCACGGGGAGGAAGGCTCAAATCTGCTCAAAGCATTGAAACATGTAATCAGTAGGTGGCAGTCAGTTTGCTCTGAATAAAACAAGCAGAGCTAAGCGTCAGTGCTAGAACACAGTTTCTCTTTTGCAGTCTTTATTTACTGGTGTGATCTCACTCAGTTACATTCATGCTTGTTGGTCAGATGCAGCTCTGTGACATCACATTAACATTACTGTCCTTGGCTTTGTTTGTATTTTGTAGATATTGTCGACGGTAACTTAAAATCTATCATGAGGCTGATCCTCGCCTTAGCTGCTCATTTCAAACCAGGCTCCGGAAGAGCTGTGAATCACAGCCCTGCTGGCACGACGGGGAAGAGCTCAGCAGCATCGTTTTCCAGTCACAGGCCCCGCTCAGCTGCTGCAGTGGCCCAGGGGGCGGTGGCTGCTCTGGCAGATGTTCGCCAAGACGTACTGCAGTCTGGCCGGGATGTCTTCCGGCACAGACAGAGGTAATGGATTTTTCCTACTTATGTGTGGTCAGACTGTGTTAGCAGGTGGACACGATTCATTTCAAAATAGATGCCTCTTTATCCTGACAATTCCTGACATAGGGCAGCTCTCAGATTGTGTAAACAAGAGACAAACCACTGCTGTCTCACTAAACCCTGAATTGGTGGCAGCCTAACAGAGGGGATTGCTGGTCTAGACTGGATGCCTCATAATGAAAATTACAGGTATCTCAGGTCTTTTTTGGATTTTACAGCAAATAACTGCTGAGCCTGTGTTCACTGAAAAAGAACATGTCTTTATGTCCAAGACAGAGGAACTTCTGCTGCCTCATCTTCCACAATTCAAGCTGAACACAGTGCCATCTTTGTGCTTTCTTCCTGCAGGGTTCCCATTTCAAATGAAACAAAACTAACCTCTTATCTGCAGATGCTATTTACAGGTCTGTGAGGAGTTATTGCCAGTACTGTGGGTTTGGTCCTGTTGTACACGTTTATTCCGCATTCGATGTTGCTGTTCTCCCCAGTGTTCTACTCACTGCTGTGTTGGCAGATGCAGTGTTGTGTGTTGTTAATCAGATGATGCATCCTACCATGTAAATGGAGGAGTTCTGGTGATAATGAGGGGAAATTATCCATGTATGGAAGGAATGTGTAATTCTGAAAGCACATTTAACACTTGCAAAAGGTGCAATGTGGATTATAATAGTAATGACATTTAAATGAAGGCCAGATGGCTGTCTTTTGAGGGTTTCATTTCACACACAGCTTCATACACAGCTGAAGGTCATTTGCCCATGTTATATTGGCTTAGGGGTGTACCCTTAAACAGTGTGGAAATGAGGTTGAAATTGTTGTGGTTTTTTTTGTTTGTTTTAATTAATATCTTTTATTAAATGTTAAAGATTTGTCTTGCAAAGATATTGGGTCAAGAGTTCATCACAGAAAAACAGTCTTTATTCTGTTTGCAAATTCTGCTCTTTTCCTCGCCTTTACAGAGCTTTTGTGGTTCTCTAGTCACAGAATTAAGGATGAATGCATCACCTTCTTTTTACATCAGTCTTTAATATTCAGACCAGTTATCTGACCTGAATGTCTGGGGTGGGGAGCAGAACAAACCCCACCACAATTCAGGTAGAAACATTTAGAGACCTGCTATTCCACTTGGACTGACAGAAGTTCCTGGCGCCAGGTGGGATCCATGGGATCCATTCAGGGCTGCTGAGGGAGCTGGCAGATGTGGTTGCCAAGCTGTTTTCCATCATCTATTAGCAGTCCTGGTCATCTGGAGAGGTTCCAGCTGAATGGAGTCTTATTAATGGGATGCCCATCTATAAAGGTCGTGAGGAGGATCTGGGGAACTACAGGCCTGTCAGCCTGACCCTGGTGCTAGGAAAGGTTATGTAAGCATCATCTGGATCATCTTGGCTGCAGTCTCATGGCATGCGCAGGACAACCTGGGGATCACACCCATCCAGCATGGGTTCATGAAAGGCAGATCCTGCCTGACCAAACTCACCTCCTTCTATGACCAGGTGACCTGCCTGGGGGATGAGGGAAGGGCTGTAGATGTAGTCTACCAGACTTCAGCAAAGCCTTTGACATTGCCTCCCACAGAATTCTCCTGGAGAAGCTGCAGCCCTTGGCCTGGACAGGTGTGATTTTTGCTGGGTAAAGACTGGTTGAATGGCTGGGCCCAGAGAGTGGTGGTGAATGGAGTTACATCCAGCTGGTGACTGGTCACTGCAGGCTTGGGGCAGAGTGGCTGGAAGGCTGTGTGGAGGGAGAGGACCCAGCGGGTGTTGGTAGTAGGTGGACAGTTGGACTAGATGATCTTTGACCCTAATTAGAGAATCAGAGAACTGCTCAGGTTGGAAAAGACCTTCAAGATCATCAAGTCCAACCTCAACCTAACCATACTACCCTAACTCTAAAAACCCACCTCTAAATCCTAATGATACTATGATTCTTGAGTTTAAAAAGGGGGGTTCTGTTTGCCTTTGTTTTCCTCTCACCAAGATGATGAAGTAGAGCTCCCTGTAAGAAAGCTTTCTTAGTAGGAAGTTTTCTAGATGTTCCCTCCTTCCTGCCTTTAGCTTTCTTCCCTTCCTCCTTGGAGACCAAAAGAATTTCTGCCCCTTACTAGATGAGGCATCACTCATTCTGTGATTGTTAATTCCAGAAACAGCAGTATGGATGAGGAGATTGAAACCCCCTACTGGAGTGTTCGAGCACTGGTGCAGCAGTATGAAGGGCAGCATAACATCCCCTTGGAGCCCCAGTCCTCCAGGTAAGGAATTTTATTGCCAAGTCATGACCTCTCACGTTCATTTGTCAGGCACTGCCTAAAATGCCCTTTGTTATTGTGATGGAAAAAATGTGGAGGAAAGGAACTTAAACCAAGCAAATGTTGTTACCTGTGGAAATAGAAGTGAGGGGCATGTGGATTTGAACAGCAGTCAGAGAAACACACCAGTGTTTAATCCAGTCTGGCTGTCCCTGGGAGATCTACAGCTGTCTTCATCACCATCATGTCCTCATCCAGCAGTTTCGACTGTTTCTAGATTTACAGTTATCTCTATTACCCTTCTATCCTCCAGGCTTTCACTTTCAATCTAAAATGCAACACTTAACTGTGTGGCTGAAAAATCTCCTGCATAGTGCTTTGATGCCTCAAAAGTCAGAGTTCGCTATGGTTTCCATTGGAGTTGGCTTTGTTCTTTAAAATAGGACTTGGATCTTGAGTACATGTTCTGTGCTATAAACAGCCTTCAGTTTCCTCACTGCACAAGTTAAGCAGCACCAAACTGGGAGAAGTGGAACGCTTTCTAAAAAATAGTCTGCAGAAGCCAGGACTGGTTAAAATGGCATCATGTAACATCATTTCCAGTATGAGGTGGTAAAACTTGCAGTTGTTAACCTGGTTAGTGTGTGCCAGTCAGAACACACACACTGGTGCCTTGCATGCTCTTCTCACTCCTCTTTGCTTTGGGGAATAACTCAGAACTCTGCCCCCATTTACTTCAGCAGAGAGGGGGAAGGGAGAACATGTGTCTATGTTTATTTTCATGGATATAGGAGAGATAGCAGAAGAAAAACCGTATTGTGATGGGGGAGCTGATTTACTATGGGTGGATTCCTAGTAAAGGACAGCCTTTCTCTTTTTCCCCAGATAGTGAGAAACTAGCTTGCACACTGACTGAACATATTAGGTTTCCCTCTGGGTACAATGCTTTGCTCCATTTAAGCTCTTCTGGAGCACACTAAGAGCTGTGTGGGCATGGTTGCAGCTCTTTGATTCACACTTTCCTGTTCCCACTGTAAGCCCCTACTCAGTTTCATTGCTTCTCTTGCCAGGGCTGCTCCCTGAGAGTCTCTCAGCTGGGCTCTCGTTTGCCCTTTTTGTGCAGGTGTGAGGAGGTTCATTTTCTTAGGGCTGATTGCCACTGACAGTGTCTCAGGACACAGAATTTCTCAGCTCCATACTATAAAGAGGCCTCTGAATACCTGAGCATTAGGATCACTTGTCCAACAGAGAAGAATGAAAGAAAAAGGAAAAACCAAAAACAACACAACCATTTGTACTCAAAATTTGTTGTGTGTTAGTGTGAGGTCTTCTTTAAACATAGGCACACATGTCTGAATAGGTGTGGAAACTCCCTGTGAGCCAGTGCCTCCACATGATGTCAGCAGAGAGTGTACTTTGAAGGTGTTGTTCCAGGGGGAGATAAAAGAAAATTCTGGTCCAGGACACAGCATTTCATGGTTAATGTCACAGGACTTTGGTGTTAATTCTTGAACTGTGATCTCAGCAGGACAGTGACTGAGCTATGCTACCTCCCTCCACTCACTGTTCATTTTAACGTAGCCATATTTTACAGGTGCTCCTCTGTCCTGTCAGGCAGGCGTTCTTGGACAGCAGCAGTTTGTGGCTGTATTTTGCTGTTCAGTGAAACTGTGTGTGCACATCCTACATTGCTTTGCTTTTTCCCTGCAGTGCCAAGAGTTCTTTTGCCATATGGTAATGGTGATATCGTTGCTGATAACGTAACATAACATGGTGAGAGCCTTTATGATAACACTGACTTCTAAAATTTACCGTGGATTCAGAAAATATTGTGCCATCCAGCTGAAAATCTGAAATAAACTGTCTAGCTTTTTTAGTGAGAATTCTTGCACTTTTTTAGTCTGTTTCTGTTTGGAACTTTTAAGTGTTTTGTTTTCAGGAGAAAAAATAGCACATTTCTACATTGTGGAGCATAGTGCATCTTGCAGGCATTGTAAATGTGAGCTGATGTGGGTGAGTAGAGGCCTGGGGCCAAAATAGTGAGGGCTGATGTGTTTAGCAAAGCTTTACAATGGTCTAATTCTGGAAACACTGTGTGATGCTTGGGAAGAAATAAGGAAGAAAAGCACAGAAACACTCTTCGTGTTGCCTCATTTCATTAATAGGAGCTGCTTATCTGGAGTTTAAAATCTTGAAACTACCCAAAATTGTTCTCAGCAATCAGTCTGCTCACTTATCTGTGCATAAGGAGCAGAAGGGGGGGCCTGAGCCTTTGCAGGCTATCCAGTGTTTTTTTTATCCTACAGTTCTGCTAATCCTGTGCTATGGGATGCACAGAGAGTTACTGGCAGCTCATCAGGAAATGATCAGAGATTGGATCAAGCTGGGGCTAAAACAATTTTAATTAAAACTGGGAATATGCTGCAATATGTAATTAAATTTTAATCACAGTATCTAGAGAATACCAATATTCCCTAGCTATCCTGCGGATTTTTGTTACCTCAGAGGGGAGGGTCAGAATGTGTGCTGTGTTTATCAGCTTAGAGACAGACTGGGAGAGAGATGTGAGTGCTGGGGTCTCTGTCGCCCAAGGACAAGACTGTAGCTGTGAGGGCTGCTGACAGAGCAGGCAGGATGATGCCTTGGACTTTTTTTTTTTTTTTTTTTTTTTTTTTTTTTTTTTTTTTTTTTTTTTGCATGCAAGACCCCAGCTGAGGAATAGATCCAAGCTGCCAGGCAGGAAAACTTTTTACTGTAGCCTCCAGTACTGCCAGCTACAGAACTTGTGTGTGAGCAAGGAGAAAGCAGATTGGGGCTCATACGATGCTGTTCACCAGAGGCACAGCAATTACAAACACACAGGTTGGCTGCTGAATTGCAGGAGGAACTGCCAAGTGGGGAAGGATCTATTTATACCAAGTCTTATGAAATCAGGAATATATATATATTGCCCTGTTACAGGGCACCAGTCACTGCCTGGTGCCTTAGAAATAAGACTCAGCAGCAGCGAAACTCTGTATCTTGTTTCGATGTGTTGATGCTCACAGTGACCTTGTTTTCTTCTAGCTCTAGTCAGTGATGTGCCCAAAAAAGCCAGGAGCAACGTGACCTCTGGCTCCTGGCAGTGTCTTCTGCTGGTGGCAGGTTCTGTGGTGAAAGTTAGATTCTCGTTTCTCTTCTCTTACAGAGGAATTTCTGAGCTTAGCTTTGTGAACTTGCTGGGAAACAAGCCATTGTATTAGTGAGATGAGGTCTGTACCAGCAGCCACCCCCTCCTAATAATTGTGCTGCTGCTGAGCCTGTCCCAGGGCAACACTTCCTCTCCTATCAGCTAATTTCTGCATTAACCCTTCAGGGAGTTCGCAGCCTGAATGTCAGAATTCCCAGAGACAAGATATCTAATAACCATATGTAACAGCAATGATTCATGGAAATTTTACCAAAACCAGGCTGATTCCCAGGCCACCGAGCTCCTTGCGCATCCCTCCTCCTCTTCCCTCCCTTTCCACCAGCCCTCCCTCCCCCTCCCTGAGGCAGGCATCTCGGAGAAAGGCTCTGCCTCGCACAGCCGTGTGACAGCAGGAGGGAGAAGGAGCTGGAGCCAGCGAGGAAAAGGAGCTGTGCGGACGGCTGGGAAGGACTGCATGCCGTCTCCTGAGCCAATATCTGAGTCTGGAGGAGCAGGGAACCCACTGCCTGCAGGGGCACTTTCTCTTGGCTGTTCGCTGGCATCTGCAGCAGGTGCTTGGAGTCTGAAGAGGACAGAATGGGATGAGAAACACCACTGGCGAACCAGATCAGTCTTGTGATGCAAACAACTGGGTGTGCAGCTGACCAAAATGCAGCAGCAAGAGACAACCCGGGAGGAAAATCAGCAAAAGCAAAACCCAGGCAGCAGAATTTCCTGACTCTGCAATCAAATCTGTGCGCAGGGGCTGCTAATCTGCCATCAGACGGTTTCTTGCAAAGACCCTGAGGTTTCTTGGGTTTTTTTTGGGTTGGTTTTTTTTTTTTTTTTTTGGCTATGAACATTTCAGCTAATGTGAAGCAGTCTGGCTTGCAAATATTTCTCCAGTAGTTTGACAGGAGCTGGCATCTTCTGCACTGAAGTCTGAGCATGTGAAGGAACGAGGCATGTCTGTAGCCCGAATCCTGAGGCTTCCCAGGAAACAAATTCTGTGAAGCGAAAGGTTAAAGTGGGATCATGGGAGGGAAGCAGGTCAAATGGTGAGCAATTGTTGCCGTTGTCATTTGAAACCGCAGGGGTGGAGTTAAAATTGTGGGAGTTCAAGCTTATCATTGGGGCTGTTTTCCTGAAGCCTGGGCTGTGCAGATACTGACATCTCTGGGACTCAGCTGAGCAAGGATTTGTGGGTTAAGAATCCAAGAGGTGGTCAAAGGAATAAAGTGGAACAGTTTGCATCATAAAACTGAAATAGCTTTAATTTCCCAGAGTGTATTTCTGCATGCTTTGATCACTAATTATGATATACTTTTAAGGGAAAGTCGGGTAAGTGGATATTTTATGCTCTAAGTGACTCGGCAACTAGTAGAAAAAGCTTAGCAATGTTTTCAGCATTAACTCATTGATGGCAGAATGAACAGGACCACCTGACCTCTGCTACTGCTTATCAGGCATCTGCGCACATTTCAGTGTCACTTTCACTGTTTGACGTGGGTTTAGAATTTGTTTCTGGTGCCATGTGAACTCTCTGGCTCTTAAAATAAGGAAGCTGCCTAAAAGGGGGACTGTGGGCATAGGAATGTCAAAGTGATTATCTGTAATAATATATGGTGTGAAAACCTGTGGTGACAGTTCAGCCTGCCCCAGCTGAGGGCCCTTGTATTTCATTTGGGCTGTGGATCCAGTTCTGAGAGGGGTGAACTTGGGGAGAGGGGGAATGTTATTTCCATGTTCTGCATCCCCTTGTTTTTTTTTATCCTGCGTGTTCTATTCACTTTTCCTTCCCGTTCTCTGCTCATATCTCAGTTTTGCCACCTTCTCATGCAATAGATGCTAATACTGTTTTTCTTGGACATCTCTCATCCTTTCACCTTTAGCATGCATGAGAACCAGCAGGGTGCTTCCTAGTGGTCATATCAGGATGATGGCATGTTCAGAGTCTCCTTGGGGAGGAGAAATGAAGATCTCTGGCTCATAGGAAAAAAAAAAAGTCTTTCTGATACTGGACATGTTAGATCAGCTGAGCTCCTGCTTTGTGCTTGTGCTATTTGAAAGCTCCACCTATGATCCTTATTGTGTAACACAAAACCAGCTATACTTACTGGGCTCTCAGACAATTATTTTACGTTGTGTATCCATTCAGCGACAAGCAGTAACAAGCAAATGGTTGAAAATGTTATATATAAAATGTGTCTAATTAAGGATTGGTATAATGCAGTCTTCCTGAAGGTAAACCCTTGGGCAAAGGTAGGTGGCCTGGAGCCCTTAAACAACCACACACACCCTGTTTGAGCAGGACAGAACAAGCACCGTGACTGTTAGAGATCCCCATTAGAAGGTGATTATTTTTTCACTTATTAAATTGCCTTCATCTCTTCCTTTAATGTGGTGAAAGTCCACTCTCTTTAGACCTTTAAAAGTAGGTTGTTTTAAGGTCTGTGGTGTAAATGAAAAATAAGCCAGCGCTAACTTTGGTAATGGATGAGCCAGAGATGCTAGCAAGTAGTTTTCATCTATATTGCAAAGCTTTTCTGATTCTGGGAGAGCTGTGGAATATGTAGCAGCAGTGCTGGGAAGATGCAGAAGGCAAGCTGCTGGAGTGTCTTATTTTTCTGAACCTATTCTGTTACTTCCACATTGTTTCCCTTTTGTTCTCTGTGCTTTGTTTCCATGTTGAGAATGAAAAATTAACTCCTGCTTACACTTGCAAGGATTAGTTCCTGAGACTTGGGAGGTATGCTGAATGGGTCAGTGAGCTTCAGCCACCTTTTGATGTTGTCTGGGTGATGCATTTTAGAATTTCTGAGAAAAGGTTGAGTGTTTGGACCTCACAGTCATCTGAGATGGCTCCAATGAAGCTATTAGGGTACTTTCAAGATCTTTATACCAGGGATGTCCTGGATGAGTGCTATCTGACATTTAAAAATATTTTGCCTTTGGAATTTCAAGTTTGTTTTCTTATTGCATTGATGCTTTTAAAGCCCAGAAATGAGACACGAAGAAAGCTAAGGTGGCTTTTTGTTTAGCTTGCAGTATGCAAGACTTGCTATAAATTGCTTCTGAGGAGACCTTTATTACCTCTGTGTGAGTTATGTGCCTACTTCAGTTTGCTGATGACTTCCCTGCCTGTTATGCAGAAAACTCTCTTAACAAGATTTCCTGCATGTTTGCTTTTAGCTGAGAGTGGTGTTGATCAGTGCACTGAAATAACTGTTTCCTCTGCAGTCTCACATCACCCAGTCCTGTCCATAGCACGAAGAGCGAATCCACTGTAACCCAGTCAGAGGAGAAAGCAGGATTTGTGATTATCCACACTGAGGAAGCAGAAACTAAATCAGGTAGTTTGCTGATAGCGCTTAACAGCTCACACTTTCACTGGGATTTGTTTGCATTTGTTTACTGAAAAGTTCACCAGAGACTGAAATGCATGTAGAGAGAGAATGAATTCTCTGCAGAGAATGGAACACTGGGCAACTAAACATAAAGCAAAATCTCAAAAACTTCTAACAGTACAGTGGTGCCAGTAATATGGCAACGTTTGTGAGGGCTTGCTAAGCGATACTTGGAAAACAAAATGCTCTGGAGAAGGTTTAAGAATCACATATAACTTTCACTGTAGGGTGAATGCTTTAATCACAGTATCATCAGGCTGTGTTGAGAGAAAAAAATAAAATTCCTAAAGACACAGTGCATGTGAACGTGTAAAGCCTATGATGCAGATCTTGATTTTGTGGAGGAGTCTGTGTTTACAGTGCATCTACACATAGGTTGAGTGACTCTTTGAAAGGAGTTGAAGTATTGTTGTTGTATTTTCATTGAAGTTATTGCTGTATTTCCACAAATGCCCTGTGATATGATCAGTTTACACTTGAAATTTTCATACAGATTGAGGGAAATGCTTTCAAAGAAGTTTCTGAAGTGACTTTTTTTTTTCTCCTTTCCAAGAATGCAGCTTAATAACAGCTCTTTCTGGTTAGATTCTGTCCCAAGAGCAAATGGCAGAAGCTCTCCTAGGAAATACTTTGCTGCCTCAGCCAGTATAGTCTGCTTCAGTGCTTTTCCAAAAGTATTTGATGACTACCTCAGCAGGTGGATTAGCTGGCAGGCCATGGCAGGCTCTTTAAATTATTAGCAGCACTCTGTGTACTTGCTGCCCATTCAGTTGGGTACTGCAGCTGTGTGCCTGCTGATGCACAGCAGCTTGAGCTGACTGGTTTCATCTTTGATCAACTAAGTAGCAACTAAGTAGTCATCAAACCTCAGCAGGTACAGCAAAGTTAATGGAGGGGAAGGATACTGATCGTCTTTGATGCAGGCATATTCAGGAAAATTTCCTTTGCATGAAGAATGAGGAATGAAACCTTGAAACACCTGTAGCAATTTCCTTGATGCCAGTTTGTATGTGATTGACATTATGGACAGCAGGCAATTAGTGTCGTGCAAGTCTTTTCTATCTATGTAATGAATGGCCTTAAGAAACATTCAGTTGTTCTTTCTTCCAGAAGAGATAGAATCTCACTTCCAACCTGAATGGCAAGCAGGGAACCTAGGGTCATGTTTGGAGAATTCATGGGAGGAGCAGCTATTGGAACAACAGGATCATTTGGAAAAGGAAATGGAGGAAGCAAAGAAAATGATTTCAGGTTTGCAGGTAATAGATATTCTTCTCAGACAGCTTTTCTGTACGCACTCATTTTCTTTCCATCAGCTGTAGCTGGAGTGTAAATTATCTTGCAGCTGAGTCTGGAACTTGAGAGCTGAGGAAGAGTCGTGGCCCAGGGAGGTCTCCTGGGGCAGTTGTCAGGAAGTCAGTCGGTTAGTGGGGATGGTGGCTCTGTGTCTCTGACCTCTGTATGCTATTGCCATGCAAAGCAGATACATTACCATGCAGAATGGTAAAGATGCAGTAGTGTTTTCCCATGGATTGAGGTTCCCATTCTTCACCAGGGCACTTATCAGCCTGCAGGTTTTGTTAGCAGTCTGGAAGAATAGAGCGGTCTTTCTCTGACTTGTGATCAGAAGTAATGCAGAGAGGCAAGAAATGTTGAGAAATCAATGAAGATTCACAGGCTGGTCAAGGGGCACATAGGTGTGCATCAGTCTTTCAGTGAACTGAGCTGAACTATAATGTTTAACAGACCCCTCTTCAGCCAATGACCATTTATTTGGGGGACCTTTTTCTCACTGCCGTGTTCCAGTCCCTTGCTGACCAAATGACCCTCAGCCCAATATGTTTGTGTGATTCTGTGTGGGGAATAGAGCCCCTGTTCCATATGGTAAAGACCCTGAACTCTCTCAGGAGTATTTCTTTCTGTTTGTGCTGGGAACCATCCTGGCTTTGAATTGTAAATATTTATGTGCCAGTAAACAAAGCAGAGATTGTCTGAGAAGCATAGGCAGCAGGGAGGGGCTTTCCCTGTGGACAATAGGCAGGACACAAAAGACTCCAAAAGAAAATACATGCTCATGCACTGGTAAAATCCGGTTGCATTATGTGCCCACTGGGAGCAGGGAGAGACAGCATAGGAAGGACTGGCACGTCCAGTTCTTCCATCCCTGGCCCCATGTCTCAGGAATGAGGGTGAGCAGCTGGCACTGCTGCTCCCTTATCATCTAGGAGTAGGAAGAGGCAGCTGATATTGCTAGCCAAGAAATTGATTTAATTGATTATTCTCCCCCCCGTGCAGCATTTTAGAGCTGCCAGTTCATTAGAGTTTGACTGAGATACAGGGGCCTGATCTATGCATGCCCCATAAGGAGCTAAAACCACGACAGCTTTTTATGTTCCTATGTGACTCTTGCTTCAATGTCCTGCTGGGCAGACTTTGGGTTGCACTCAGGGAATGGTTTCCCTAAGAGCCTTTGCATTAACTGAATGCAGATTGCTGGCTGTTTGCTATTCAGCAGCAGTTGCAGCACTCCGGGGGAAGATTCTGTCAGCAGGCAGAACCTTGAGTCTTTTGGAGCTGGACTGGAGTATTGCTGCAAATTTTTGTTTGTAGCTATAGAGTTTAAATAAAGTAGAAAAGTAATTTAAGGGGAAAAAAAAAAAGGCATTACTTTAAATTGTTGACTCTTGCAACATCCTGGCACGTACCCATATGTCTTTGAGTCCTAGAAGCTTGAGACAGAAAGGTCAATGTAAAAAACACCAGCTAGAGTAAACCAGTCCTGCCAGTCACACTTCCTACGGTACAGGATTGTCTATCCTTAAGGCTGGATTCAGTTTACTGTGGAGATTGTGGCATCTTCCCATAGACACGGCCTACTTGGATCTGCTTATGGAGTTAATGCTGTGCTTCTAGAAACTGTTGATATGTCTGACTGTTAGCCAGGTCTGTAGTTAACCTGTTTTTCCTTTAAAAACCTCTGAAGAGTTGTTTGTTTTTTTTTTTTTTTCCTTCATCCTCTCAGGCTTTATTGCTCAATGGCTCTTTACCTGAGGATGAGCAGGAAGGGTCCTTTAAACTTTGTGAACATGGAGCCTGCCCAGAAGAGCAGCTGGTGAGCACACTGTTGTACTTAGGTTTCTCTAAATGAGCAGCTCTAGGTAATATTCTGCCACAGGCAGGTGTTTTACGCAGTAATAATCATGGGTTTTTGTGTTCAGATCATAATCCGAAGTCGTCTGGACCAGAGTGTGGAAGAAAATCAAGACCTAAAGGTTAGAGGAATTGATTTTCTTTTTTTCTCTCACACCTATAATAACAGGGGCTTAAGGAGCTGCTTATTTGATTTGCGTGTGGGAAAAGGAGAACACAGGCATGGGTTGAATCTGAACAGGTGAAAAGATGCAATTTAATCAAATTCTTTTGGATTTACAGAAGGAGCTGTTGAAATACAAACAAGAAGCTCGAAACTTACAGGGGATAAAGGTAAGGAAAGGGACACTTCATCAAATATATAAACATTAAAGCTCTGGAGTTTGCTGCAGCCCAGGAGTAGGGCAGTCAGCAATCATACATTTCTGTGGAATCCAAGAGAATGGAAGGAGCTGTATTAGGGCAGTTGGAGGTAGGGTATCCTATGCTCTATTTCTGGTTCTTGGGAGAGACTGCAGTTGAGAAAGTCACTAGGAGTGAGGCATCCTGGGTTCTGTTTCTGTCTTCAGGGTTGGAGTAGGTGCAGTAGGATCAGCCAAACAAACTCTTGACAAGAGGGAGTATCCTTGTCCTCTTCAGCTACAACATTCTTCACCTTTTTGGCTTGTTTTGCTCAGTTTCTCCCTTTAGAGTTATGAACACTCATAATCTGCTCCTAAGCAGAGGTATTTTAGAGCTGCCTGTCAGCTTTCTGTGAAGGAAGACAGCAGCACCTATCCAAGGTGGAACTCTCTGTTTCTGGGCAATTTCTGAGTTAGGAATTACAGAATTAGTACTGTGGCCTCTTCAGAGAGGATTTAATTGCATAATTAGATCATGCTGAGAATTTGTTTCCTTGTGTCCCTCCCTGACATTGGCTTCTTACTACCCTCTGGCTGCTGCAGTTGTGTGGCTGGAGAAACTAGCTGTAGGCTGCTGTACACACCCTCCAAAGACACTGCTGTTTTCTTCCATAAGGGAGAATTGTCAGGACACTTCTGAAGCAGAAACTTCAGGAAGAAGCAATCACTCCGTCACAAACATCTAAACCGTTAGCAGGGAAATTGTCACTGGGCGAGAGCAAGGCAGAAGGGCTCTGAGAGGCTGTTGGAGCAGATGTCTGTATGTCTTCTGCTCTCTCAGGCCTTTGACAACATTTGAGTCTAGCCTGTAAGGCCTAGATCACATCTAGATCACTTCCCATGGAAAGGTCTCTGCCTTTGTCTTGCACTTACCCATCAATGTCTTTTCATAGGATGCTCTACAGCAGAGGCTGGCTCAACAGGATGCTTCAGTTCTTCAGCTAAAGCAGGAACTGCTGAGAGCAAACATGGACAGGGAAGAGTTGCACAATCAGAATGTGAGTCACTATGCTGCTGCTGAGATTATTTTAGAAAGAAAGAGCTTGGCAGCCCTGGGAATTCCAGCAGCCAAAGGATGAGGTTTGTGGTTGCAGCATAGCTTTTGAGGTCATGGGATAGTGAAAGACCAGTCAAAGGTCTGTGCAGTAAACACTGCAGACTCTACTAGCCAGCTGTGGAGTTCCCTATTCCTCACTCCCCACTTCCTGTACTCAAAGGCCTTTGGCTGAAACGAGGAGATTCCCATGATGTTTTTGGTGCAGTTGCGCTGTTCCTTCCTTATACTGCTCCCTGCACTCAAAAGTAGCACATTGACAGGTGGAGCTCCAACGTGGTGTCTGCCTGAAGACAGAAGTGCCCTGTTCAAAAGCTTGCTGCCCTGGAAAGCAGTCTAGCTTCCTCAAACCCTGCCTCCTGTTAGCACAAGGCACAAAGAGCTTGTTGCTAACTCTTTAGGAATATACACTTCACACCTAATTGGTTTTTCTGCAGGTTGATCTTCAGAGGAAGGTAGAAGAGAGAAACAGGCTGCTGGCAGAATACAAAGTAATGGAACCTCTCTCTTTGCTGGGGACTGTTTCTGGTGGTTCTCCTGTGAATGTGACTGCTCTCTCCCTGGCAGCCTTGTGGAATGGCACTGTGGGCAGTGAATAAGTTGCAATAGCCATGCATGTTTGCTATGAGAAGGAGGGATCAGATAATTCTTGTGTTCCTCCCCAAACTCATTTTCATAGTGTATCTTTCATTGTCTTGCTTTTGGCTTGCTGAATGTTTAATGTGCAGAAGCCAGTTTAGAATCTGTCACTTGGTTGCCTACTGATCCCTCATCATTCTGTTTTCTCTGCATCAGTTGTCTGGCCTCAGTCATGGACCTTGACTGGCCAGGGGGGCTCTAGCTAACCTTTTCAAACAAGGCTTTGATACTCAGATCTAACATCTAGCTAAAAGGATACAGACTGTGTAGGTCAAGCTATAGAGTACATATTCCTGCCGTAATGATGATTGTGAGCCTTACCACGCTTTGATTCCCGTTACAGAAGGAACTGGGCCAGAAGGACCGACATTTACAGCAGCATCAAACCAAACTGGATGAAATGCTTAGGCAACTTTCTGAGGCCAGTTACCAGCAGGTGTGGAGCCAGGTGGGCTGCTGATATCCTAAGAGCTGGTACTTTCCCTCGGTGGCTCATTTTGTGCTGGTTCTTCTGTTCCTTTCACAGGTGGATTTGGAGCGGGAGCTGGAACACAAAGAGGCTCTGCTAGCTCACTGCATGAAGAGAGAAGCTGAAGAGGTATGGGAAGCAGAAGCTTTGGTCAACACAACAGACTGTTGGACTAGTATTTGCATTCAGTACTCTCTAGCTGCCCGTCTTCAGAAATCATATCCATCCCAGAGAGGCCAAGCTCAATATAGTCTAATTGACTGTGCCCTAAGCAAGGCAAGCTTAATCCCACAAAGCATCCATCTTACCACAGCTCTCAGCAGTGAGCTCTCTGGCATAGCTTCTAGTGTCAAAATCATAAGGGAACAATAAGGAGAGCATAGGATTAAGTGAAATCCTGGATTCTAGCTCCAACTCTAATGCAGGCTAGCAGCTAGGCCAGGACTTACCTGCTTATCTCCTCCTCTTCCTGGTGACACAGCTATTAAGAACTTGGAACTGTTTTGGTGGAAAGAACACCAGCTCCAGTATCTGTCAGCGCCTGCACAGTGATCTCTAGAGTTTTTATAAGAGTCCTCTGAGGCAGTAAGAAGGTATTTCCTGTATCTGCCTGTGTTTCCTCACCCACACATGAGAAACCACACTTATGCTCTGGCCTATAGGACTGTCTCCACACTCCTTAAGTGAATGCATTTACCTACTAGAAAGTAAATAAATCTTTTTCGTGCCCTCTCATCACTTTGAAGTTGGCAAACTGAGACCTATAGGGCATTCCTAACACTTGTATTCCTGGCGTCACATGCATCTTCCACTGAACAGGTGATGGCATATAGCAGTCACAATGCTCAGAGCAATGGCTTCCTCCAGACAGCAGGAAAAGGTGCTGCTCCCACAGCCCACCGAGGGGTAAGTGTATGGAGGGATGTTTTCCCAGCCAGATTGAGGTGAGGGCTCCACGTGTCCTGGAATCTGTTAAGGGCTATTTCTCCTTTCTAAGGCCTGTGGCTTTAGATGGGAAGAAAGCAGCCTGGAGATAATCTGATTAACTTTTGGTCTCTTGGCAAGACAAATGACTTGCAGCTCGTTCGTGATGCACTTCGTAGCCTGAGGAACAGTTTCAGTGGCCACGATCCACAGCACCACACTATTGACAGCCTGGAGCAGGGCATATCGAGTCTGATGGAACGGTTACACCGCATGGAGACACAGAAGAGGCAAGAGAGAAGGGTAAAGGTTTCCTACTGCTTGCTTCTTAATTTCTGCCCTTCACACAGAACCTTGAACTAAACTACCACTTCCCAACTGGGAAGTAATACTTCATTTTCACTGTTTTGGTTTCACATCCTAGATCCGGGGGAAGTCGCCGGCAAGCAGAGCAAATGAGTGTAGAGACTCCTGGCCTCCAAACTCCAGTAAGTGTCTTTCAGTTCCTCTTCTTTCTGAATTCATTCCTCAGTTTTCCTGGGCAAAGTCTGGGATGCAGCATCTCCTTGGGAATCTGCCGCCTGTTCTGCCCTTCACCAAAGCTCACTATCCTCACTTTGGTCGCTTGGTGTTCAGGCAAAGGAAGGAGATTAGAGACCGTCTATAGCAGCTTTTTTGTGAAGCACCATTACGCTGTGAAATGTCTGAACCAGTTGGGTAGTACTGCAGTAGAAATAATTACCCATGGGATGAGCTGGAAATGTAATGTTATTTCATCTTTCCTGCTGGTTTGCACCATCTAGTGGATGCATAACTGTACAGATTCTTCTCTTCTTGCTTCCCCCACAGTATCTGGCTCCTTTCATGTATGTGGAATAGCACAATTTCTGACATCATGTTTTGTGGCTTCAGCTGCAGCAGCTCCACATTTTGCTTTTCATTGTAAAGGCTGTTTGTTTCAAGCTTTGGTTATAAGTATTTCCTGGGAAGTCTGTGAGGGAAGCTGTAGAGGTTTCCACGTACTGGGGAAAGGCAGAGGCCACCTTTTAGCTGCATTGCAGCATCCAGCAACAGGGTAGCCTGCATGTACAGGATGTGGAGAAAAGCAGGAGAGAATCACAGAATCGCCAAGGTTGGAAAAGGCCTTCAAGATCATCCAGTCCAACCATCCACCTATCACCAATAGTACTCAGTAAACCATGTCCCTCAATACAAAATCCAACCGTTCCTTGAACACCTCCAGGGTCGGTGACTCCACCACCTTCCTGGGCAGCCCATTCCAGTGTTTGACCACTTTCAGAAAAGCAGTATTTCCTAACGTCCAGCCTGAATCTCCCCTGGTGCAACTTGAAGCCATTTCCTCCAGTCTTATCACTGTTACGAGAGAAGAGGCCAACCCCCAGCTCACCACAACCTCCCTTCAGGTAGTTACAGAGAGCAATGAGGTCTCCCCTGAGCCTCCTCTTCTCCAGGCTGAACATTCCCAGCTCCTTCAGCCACTCCTCATCAGCCCTGTGTTCCAGACCCCTCACAGCTTTGGTGCCCTTCTTTGAACCCACTCCAGGGCCTCAATGTCTTTCTTGCAGTGAGGGGCCCAAAACTGGGCACAGTACTCAAGGTGTGGCCTCACCAGAGCTGAGTAGAGGGGAAAAACATAGAAGTCTGAAGGGGAGCCTGGGGAGGATTTGTTGAGTTCTCCCTGCTCTCCTATAAACTGCAGATTTTAGGGTCTCTGCATGTGTACTGTACCTCTCCCTTTCTCATTAAGCCTCAGCAGGCTTCATCCCCTGCCCTGCAGCAGGAAAATTGAGTTTTGTGGCCATAAACCTAAAATCTCTCAGGTATAAAGAGTTCTAAGAGGTGGCTCCAAAAATTTGTTAGAAAACCTATAACTTGGTGTCTGTTCTGCTTTCTGCATGCTGAGAGTTAAAATTGTAGAGTTCCTCAGTGTGAAGCTTCAGCTATCAGCACAGCACACTGAAAGGGCAGGGGAAACTAGGCAATATCCAGAGGGGAGAGAAACACAAATGAGCGAAGAAAAATATGTGCACAAACACTCATCCTGAGCAAGCTGAATGGACAGGTGGGGAGGAGATAGGTAACCTTTTCCTTTAATGATGGTGATCAATCAGACCATCCTGCTCAATGTATCTGCAAGTGAAGGCAAGTGGTGCTGTAGTTTGCCTAGACAGTAGGATGGATTACACTCCAGTACCTTCTCTTCCAGAAGGGTTTTCCTGTCATTGCATGTGGAGTAGGTGGTAAGCAGCAAGCTCCTCAATAGGTAGAATAGGAATCCTGGAAGGCATTGGTAGGAAAATCTTATAAGCTGACACATTTGAATTTGTTGTTACCTTAAAATCCAAAGCTTTTCATTAAGCAGAGGAATACCTGGTCCTTCTCAGGGATAGCCACTTCTGTAAGAATCTCATCCCACCTGGAGATTCTTTGTTCCTGATGGCAAGTTTGATGCTGAGAGCATCTCTTGTCTCCTGTTGTGGTGTGAGACAGGTTGTTCTCCAATTATTGTGCTCTGGGTTCTTTTCCTTGCAGAACTGCCTCATTCTCACAGCACACCTGTGATGAGTACCAGTGCCTGCACCAAAGTGTTGTACTTCACTGACCGCTCCCTCACACCTTTCATGGTCAACATACCAAAGAGGTGAGATTTAGTTTTGCCTTGCTTTGATTTGGGAGGTACTTGTTTCCTTGAGAACAATAGTCTGATCTCTTCTGGGTATGGTCACCACTAGCACAGGTTCCCTTTAACTTAGGCACTGGATTTTTATACCACTGACTGAAAGCAGTCCTCTAGCTGATATGTTTGTTTTAGACCCCTAGGAAATTTTTTGTTTTTTAATTAACTTCAAAGAGAAGGCATCCAAGCAGTTCTGTTCTGGCATATAGCACAGGACTCCTGTGCCAAAAAACACACCAATCAGTGCGAATGGGAAAGGGAGAAAGGCAGTTTCAAGGTGGTTCCTATAAAATTTGGAGGAAGTTCTTCCTCTGAAGAGGACCTTGGGGTTGACAGAAGTGTTCCTGGAGGGGCACGCTCTTCACATCCCTGTGGCTTATGTTCTGAGAGCCTAGTCTGACTTGTGCTGTGACCCTGCATGCCATACAATAACACTTGAGATAAAGCCTGTCCAGGGTACTAAGGGTAGTGTTGGATTCTTTTTGCAGGCTAGGGGAAGTGACTCTGAAGGATTTTAAGGTAGCTATTGATCGTGAAGGAACCCACCGGTACCACTTCAAAGCCCTGGATCCGGAGTTTGGCACAGTCAAAGAGGAGGTAGGTGTCCAATTTCACTGTTGGCCATTGCTGGGTTCAGTGTTGTGACACAGCCCTGGAGACCTTGCTCACATTACTTCTAAACTAAAACAATCTTTGTGTCTCCAAACAGACAGCCAGGTTCCACAATTGTAGGTTAAGCTCCTTCTTCTGAGAAGCCAAAAATGAGATGTTTTTATCGTCAGCCAGAGCAATGATACAAACGTGACTGCTTGTCTGGGGTTTCCAGAGCCCTATAGGCAAAGGCTATTGGCAAAACACAGGCTACACTTCTGGCTCTTACAGTGGCTTTATGAAATCTGTTGCAACATTTATTTTAAAAATGTCCTCCTACGTCATTTTAAAGGTCTTTCAGAGGAGCTGTGTTTATCTTATCTGTGTGCATCTTTTCCTTTGTGTGCTGAATTATACCTCTTTGAGCTTAAGCTGGTGTTGGTATGGATTGGATTCATTAAAGGTTATTGAGGGTAGTTCCTGTTTCACAAATTGATGAAGACAAGTGCAGAGGGCTGCCTTCCCTTGGGAACGGTCAGCTAACTATTTAGCCATTCTGCAGAAACAGATGGGAATTGTGTTCTGATGGATAAGAGATGTGTTTCCTGTGTTTATTTCACTTTTTCTGATTAAAAAATAGTAAAGACTGTTAAGGTTGAAGAAGGAGCCAGATCTAGTTTTCAACTTAAAATCTGAAAACATTGAGATGTGTCAGCGTTGGGTGAGGTGCGTGTTATGTGAGCTGTGTTGTAGAATTGTAACTTGGAAACCTGGATCTCTGACTTGATGCCTGCCTCTAATGCTATTCACATGTGGGAGAGCAGTGACCAGACTTCAGATGTGACTGGACTCTTTTTTCATAGGTATTCCATGATGATGACATCATTCCTGGATGGGAGGGGAAAATTGTGGCCTGGGTGGAAGAAGACCATGGGGAGAATTAATCAAGCTTTTAGGTCTTGTCACTATGGAAACCTGTGACTGGCTGCTGAGCTCAGAGAGTGACCAAAAAGCATGTGTGCTGGAAGGAGTCCAACGCAAGCTGCCAAGAGAAAGGGCTTCTCTGCAAACAGCGGGTAATGCACGTTGTGTGCACGGACGGCTGGCGTGGACACCTGGCTTTCTGTGGCCAAATACAGACAGCGTTGTGGGACTGAAACAGCTATCTGTGGGAAAGAAACACCTTGCTTTTTCCTGTCAACTAAACCCTAACAGCCTTAATGATGCATTTTTCCTTTCCCTTGCTTCTCAATTCCTGCTGTATGTGCTGCAGTCTGTGAGCTGGGCATCTCAACTCTGGTTTGTTGTACACAGTACTGCATAAATCTACTCTGAGGGCAAAAATGTGAAGCTTTGCCTTTGTGAGTCTGAAGAAACAGCTAGATTGTGCAAGCAGAAGGTTTGACCAGCTTTGGTCTTGACCTTGCATGTGTTGCAGGAGCAGAGTGAACTTTGTGGACAGTCAGACTGAGCAGACCTGGGGAAGGAAGACAGTCTTCTGGAGGTTTTATGCATCATCTGAAGCAAAGATCACCAGCTTGGCAAAGCTCCCTTTCTGCCAAATTCAGGCTTCTGGTTCCTAGCCTTGCTTCTCCCATTTGTCCTCCAAAGATGTACTTCCAAGACCCTCTGGGTTTGTTTTGTTGCCATGGGGACTGTGGGATCTTGGTACTTAACTTTTCTGGTGAAAGTTTTCGTTTTTGGATCAGCTGCTTCCCCAAGGTACTCTTAGCCCCTCCCCCTTCCTTGTTAAACCCCTCTCTGCACTCCTGCTGCCTCCTCTGTTATCATAGCAACTGATTGTCACCTCCTGTGCACAGGCATCACTATGCTACTGTCTGCTGGTTGCTAGAGCCACCAAACATCAATACTCTTATAATAAGTCCTGTCAGTAGCACCATTTCCTTGCTATGCCTATTGCTGGGCTTTCTGGAGGAGCAAGGAATTGAACAGTTGATTGAGAGGGTCTGAGCCCTGAGATCCCTGAGGCTCTGTGGGGTTTGTTTTGCTTTTTGTTCATTCTGTTTTTCCCCTGCTTTGCCTGCCTCTGTCCTCCTGCTGCCTGTCAGCTGTACTTGCACAGCACTGGCTCTGGTCTGCAGCAGACACTGTTGATTTAAAAGTTCAAAAGGCAAGTCAAGGCTCTGCTCATTCTCAGTCCATGTGGCCCTTTCATGGGCTGCCTGCATGTCTGTACCGTGCATGAGGCTAGGAGGGGGTGAACCTGGTTTTACTGTTTTATATTAACGTGTCCTTTTGTAAATATGTTACTGTTCGGAATTATTTTGTACCAGTTTACATTGTCTGAGGACTGTGGATATTTTTATACCAGTGCAAGTGCTTTCTGTATATTTCTGCACGCATTATACGGTGTTTTACTCTCTAGTGGATGCTGAGATGTTTTGTATGGTCTTCTGTTCACACAACACTGGGTTTGACTTTATTTTACTTTGGAGATCCAACTAGTTCCTATTGGATTTTATGTTTTGCCAGCTTATGCAGGCAGTAAGAACGCTATTTCTTCTTTCACTGCTTCACTGTCCAGGAAAGAGCTCAAGGATTTTACAAGGCCCTGTGCCAGTCTGGCACAAGATGGCACGCCTGCTGCACTGTATGATTTGTTGTGTGACTTTTTCTTTACAGACAGAGGCTAATATCAGTAGGAGAGCTCATCAGTGGGCAAGTTCATCGGTGGGTGCAGGGCAGGGGAACCCATCTCGCTTGGAAAAGAAGGATTTGCTTCCTCCCTGGAAACAGTTTTCTGTTGCATGATCTTTAGTGGGTTGATAAGGACAGTGTGGGGTTGTTATATTGGAACCAATTGTATTTCAATTGCAGGCTTTTTTTCTCAAGTGTTTTTTCAGTTTTTGCTCACTGATTCTATTTCAACAAGAGCCACACATCCAGGATTTTATGGAGACAGTTTTCAAGGTCTGTAGTTGCCAGTTCAGGGGCTAGTGCTGTTTGGTGCTGTTATCAGAGCTTCTACTGGACACCTTGCCTTTTTCCTATGGGAAAAGACAGATGCTAACTGATACAGGAGGCGGTCGGGAGTCTCAGGCTTGTTCTTAGGGCAGTTCAGGTGACACCTTGTGGGCACACATAGCATGCTGACTGAAACTCAAATTTGGCCAAATGCTTTCCAGAGCAGCAAGGAGCTTCGTACTTGAGAAGGAGGAAGACTGAAGACTGTACCTTTAATCAGTACTGAGATCACACGTAAGCTGGGACAAAACAAGTGTTACCTGAGACAGAACTGATGCACTGCTCTGTTCTCGAGCTCCTGGATGTGGCTCCCTGTGTTCGCAGAGCTGGCACTGAAGCAGAAGCCCCATTTTGCCATGCTCCCCTCAGCAGTGCTGCACTCACAGCCTGCTTGTGTTCAGCTTTGTGCCACGGCTCTGCAGCCCTCCCCAGCCGTTTACTGATGTTTGCTGATTTACAAGGAGTTTGGAAGTGGTAATAAAGGGGCAGAGGAAAGGGGGAAAGGCCTCTGTGGGCTGCTGCTCCTCGTTGGTAGCAGCACAGCTGTTGTGCCGACATGGAATCTGCTGCAGTAACTTCAGCAGGTTTATTATACCGCACGTACAGCAGGACTTCCATTCTGTTAGCTGGAATTCGTGTTTATTTCTGCCCGTCTGCCAACTTACTCACCTACCCCTATACTTTTGAGCTGACTCAGTGACGCCATCTATGCTAAATTATATTTTTGTAGAAGCTCAGGACGTGGCGCTCGCCATTTCCTACGCGACCCGCGTTACCGCCGCAAGGACGGCGCTGCTTCGCAGCGCATGCGCACACCGCGCCTCACCCCCCTCCCCCACCCCGTCCGCGCTTTACGGCAGCGCAGCAGCGTCGTGCGAGCCGTGCGGCGCCGCGCCCGGACGGAGGAGGTCACCGAGCGGCGGCGGTGCCGCGGCGGCAGCTCCGGCTCCAGGATGTGGCGGGTGTTGTGGCGGCGCGTGGCTCCGGGGACAGCGGGGTTGGCGCGGGGCTGCCGAGCGTTCGGCGCCGCCTCCGGGATCGGTCGCGCCACGGCGGGGGGCGGCGGGGCTCCGGGCCGCGGTCTGGCACGAAGGCGCGGCGAACCGCTGCCGCCTCCCTCCTGGCCCCGCTTCGTGCCGTGCCGCCGCTGCAGCCTGCCGGCGCACCAGAAGGTGAGAACCGCCCGCCCCCGGGCCGCCTTGCCCGCTCGGGGTCGCTTCCCAGGAGCCGCGGGCCTCGATCCCTCCCGCCCGCGCTCCCCGAGCCCCGCCGCCGCCGGCCGCGGCTCCCTCGCTCGGCCCCGTCCCGTCCCGCCCCGCCGGGGTGGCAGCCGGGCTCTCCCTGCTGTCCCGCCCTGCCCCGGCTCCCCGCTGCCGGTGCCGCTCGTGCCCTGACGCCGCCCCTCCCCCCGCAGGTGGCTCTGCCGGCGCTGTCCCCCACCATGCAGATGGGTACCATCGCGCGCTGGGAGAAAAAGGAGGGCGACAAGATCGGTGAGGGGGATCTCATCGCAGAGGTACGCTGAGGGCCTTTGCTGCTGTGCTCTTGGTTCTGCCACTGCCCAGCCTCGCCTGAGCACGTTTTCAAGTTCTCTCCTATGAGAGCGGTGAGGTGCTGCTGAGAGGCTGTGGATGCTCCATCCGTCCCTGGAGGTTGGATGGGGCCCTGGGCAGCCTGGTCTGTGTTAAATGTGGAGGTTGGTGGCCCTGCATGCGGCAGGGGGTTGGAGCTTTGTGATCCTTGTGGTCCCTTCTGGCCTTGTCCATTCTGTGGTTCTTCCAGGACTGGTTGCTGGATTTGGTCTTTCTGAGCAGGAGGAGCACTCGCCCTTCTGAGAGGCATCCTCTCCCCAGCTGGCGATTTGTGCTTTGTGCTCCCTCACCCTATGCTGCCATGCTGGAGGGCTTGGAGCTCACTGGTATTTCCCTTTCCATAACGTTGTCCTGTTTGCTCTTTCAAAGGTGGAAACAGACAAAGCAACAGTTGGCTTTGAGAGTTTGGAGGAATGCTACTTGGCCAAAATTCTGGTACCAGAGGGAACAAGAGATGTTCCTATTGGGGCCATAATATGTATCACAGTAGAAAAGTATGTATTTTCCTATCCCTTTATTGAATTTTCTCTTTTGGGGCTTTGTGGGTGCCCTGTGTTAAAGGCCATGGCGATTTTATCGGACTGATTTTTTGTTTGATTGTTTTTAGGCCTGAACATGTTGATGCCTTTAAAAATTACACTCTGGATTCTGCAGCATCTGCTCCCCCTGCAGCCTCAGTGCCTCCCCCTCCAGCTGCAGCACCCTCACCCCCACCTCCGCCTTCTCCTCAGGCTCCTGGCAGCTCTTATCCTCCTCACATGCAGGTAAGAGAGCATTGTTAACCATCTAAGGTTTGTTGCACACTTCTTTTTTTTGGCATCATTTGCTGTAGGATGTTTTATCATAAAAACTGTCAGGAGCGGGAGAGCATTAGCTGTAACAGGACTGCATGGCTCTCAGAGTGGTGCATGCTTAAAGCAGCTATTTGGGGTGGTCCCAGAAAGTTTTCTTATTACTATGATATTTTTTTTTTTATCCCAGCTGCTAGTAGGAGATGCTTGTTTCTCCTGGTTACTTGAGCAAACGAGAAAGAAATTGCTACATTCCTATGGTTCGGATAGCTCTGATACAAAAAAGACCTTGTACTTAGTGTGAATGAACCCTGAGGGCTCTGCTCAGATCTCAGCAGAACCCAGAAGTGTGAGATACTCCAAACATGCCAGATGTGTTTGTGAGCAGCTGAAAATGAGCTGTATTTGTGGATAATCTATTTGCTTAGGTACTGAAGTGTGCATCCATTGTTGTTCTACCTGAGCATTTGTAGCACGGTAGTTCTGTGACGTTAATTTGAAACACAAGGTGTTCAATACCTTCTTTCACAGCTAAGGTACGTGGAAGCTGGTTTGTCTGAGATGTTATGAAAAGTTTGTAAATGAACTGGGTTTCTTGATCTGACTTAACTCCACCTACTTAACGTGGTTAATTGGTTTATTTGTCCAGTTCTGTTCTAAAGCTGTTATATGTGCTGTGTTTGTTGTACACAGTACGTGTCTAAACCTACAGCACATTTAAGCGCTTGGTGGAAGACAAGTCTGTATAGCTGTTACAGGAACCAGGCAAGTTTGTCAGAGACAGAGTGACTTGCTGAAGCCTTCCTTTGAGCCTTACAGACAGCAGCTGCCTGCTAGTGAATTGGGTGCCTAGATTTCTTCGTTTTTGCTTTTGCTTGTTTTCTTGCCTTGACAAAAGAAGTCAAACTTCTGTAATGGAATCAGATCTAAGAGTGTGTTAAAGGTTGGCTGCTTCTTTAGGTTGGCATCATTTAGTCAAGAGCTCTCAACTATGTCCCTGCTCCTTTTGAGTCACCAAATCTGATGCACTTGTATTCTGGCTTACAGGTTGCTCTGCCTGCTCTGTCACCCACCATGACAATGGGCACAGTGCAGAGGTGGGAAAAGAAGGTCGGGGAGAAACTGAATGAGGGAGACTTACTAGCAGAAATCGAGACAGATAAAGCCACAATAGGTGAGTCAACTCCAAAGCCAAGAACGGATGAGGGAGGATCTAGAGGAGCCTCTGTGCCAGCTGTTCCCTGGCTGCTCAGGGCATGAAAAAAGGGCAGTTAAAAAGTATCTTGTGCTGCTGGAGAGAGAACCACTGGAACTCCCAGAAGTAACTCCTTCCCCATCAATCCATGGTAGGAGTGTACAGTGCACAGAGATCTTTCCTGCCTTTTACACTGAAAAGAATTTTTTGTCTACTAAATACAGGACACAGCTTTAGTTACTTAATCTTTCAGAGTTACCATTTGGTGCGACAGGCACCAAAACAATTTTGTTTATTTTTCCTTCAGGCTTTGAAGTGCAGGAGGAAGGCTACCTGGCAAAAATATTGGTGCCTGAAGGAACAAGAGATGTGCCATTAGGAACAACCCTCTGCATCATTGTGGAGAAGGAGTCTGATATTCCTGCTTTTGCTGACTACCAAGAGACTGCAGTAACTGATATGAAGGCACAAGTTCCTCCTCCTCCTCCTCCCCCTCCTTCACCAGTAAGGACCCCTCTTAGGCAGGGAGAGAAGTTACGGGGACGATTAAGAGTGACTGGCTGGATCTGAACTGTGGTGCTGGTTAGACTGTGTGAAGCCCTGACTCCAGTAATGTTTATGATCCTGTGAGTGCAAGGCTAGCAGGTGCATTCGTGATAGAGATCACTTCTTGGGTTGGCCCTCCAAAAACTGGAACAGCAGTTATGAGTGCTTCTTGACCTATTGCTCTTACCAGTTTGATGCCTCCCTGAAAATTAGGAGCATACATTGCATTATTTCACTGTTTCGGTGTAAAATTAAATAGGTTGGTTGACGTCCTGTACTGGAAGTTTCTGCTTTGATTTCTAGTGCTAGGAAACTGCTCTGAATCCTTTCAGATTACAGATTATTTCTGTTACTCCCTTGACTGGTAATGAGATAGTCCTGTTCTTTGATTGCACTGAAGTGAAACCTTCAAGACTTTTGCAAAATAGTCGTGGAACTAATGGCTGTGTTTGTTCTGTTAAGGTGGCGGCAGCTCCCGCTGCTGCTGCTGCTCCTCCCCCGCCTGCTGCTCCTCCAACTCCAGCAGTCGCAGCACCTGGGCCGCCTCCCCGGAAGGGAAGGATCCTGGTTAGTCCCCTAGCAAAGAAACTGGCGGCAGAAAAAGGAATTGATCTTGCCCAAGTGAAAGGTAAGGTGCTCTCGCTGTCCTGAGGTGTTTGTCCCTCTAGCTACATATTTGCCTGTTCTTTGTTTTTTTCCCTGCTGGGGACATTCAGCTGTGCAGCTGTCTCCACCGATCTCAGTTGAACAAAACCTCCCTGAGATGCAATGCCCTTTTGCAACTAATCCTCTTACATTTTTCTTTGACACTCTTAGGTACTGGACCAGATGGTAGAATCACAAAGAAAGATGTGGAGTCTTTTGTGCCACCACGGGTTGCCCCAGTGAGTAGACTTGAGGTCACTGAGGATGGGTGCACAGAGGCAGGATTTACCATTTTAGGAACTTCATCGCTGTGTGCCTCAGTGTCGCGTTTCAAAATCACTCAAGTACTACACTTAATAATCAGTGGTAGGGTTTGGCATGAACCTGGTTGTCAGCAGAGATTGAGTCAGCGTCTATTGCTCTCGAGCAAGAGACAGCATGTCCTCAGTGCTTGCCTTACCTACTGAGTTATTCTGCAATTGATACCTGGACTGTGCCATGAACAGTGCTGTCCTCCTCTGGTTGCAGGCTCCGGCAGTGGAAGCAGTTCCTGCAGCTGCTGCAGTTGCAGCAGCACCAGTGGGGACCTTCACAGATATCCCGATCAGCAACATTCGGAGGGTGAGAACGTTCTTGCCATTCCTGGCACCGTGATTTACAATCAGGAGTTTTCTGAATTTGTTCATTTTCATCTCCTCTGTTGTGTGCCTACAGGTCATTGCTCAGCGGTTGATGCAGTCTAAACAAACAATACCTCACTACTACCTTTCTGTTGATGTAAACATGGGAGAAGTACTGGTGCTACGAAAAGAACTCAATCAGGTGAAGTATTTGGCGAGCTGTGCTGAGATAGCTGAAGCTAGGAGATATGGTGAAGCTGCGTTCTCTCACAGGTTTCCCCACCCTGGTTTTGATGATATGCCAGTTTGGCCTGGGGAAAAATAGTCCTTTCAGTGTCTCACCTACGTGCTGTAGATCAGTTTTGGACCGTCAGTGACAGAAGGAGAACTTTTACTGAGGAGCAGTGCGCTGACATCGAACTTCCCTGAAAGGGCCACTTTGTACTCTGTGTGCTGGAGTTCTGTTCTTTCAGATGAAAAGTAGGGAAAAAGATTAAAAAATTTTTTAAGACAAAAAAGGGTAAAAATTTGAAGCAAAATTATGTTAATTCTAAGCCAAGATTGGGGAAAAATAGTCACTGAAAATTGTGCCTTGAATTATGAAGGAGGTGTATTCATCTCCTACGTTACCTTGGCACTTCTGATACAAATGTTTACAGTCAGTATGATTGTTTTTTACATTTTCTCTAAACAAGGCTCCATGCAGTGACTGTCCAAATTATTCAACGTGTGAAGGACAAACTGACAGCTTGTATCTCTTCATTTACAGATGGTCTCAGATAACGTTAAGCTTTCTGTCAACGACTTCATAATTAAAGCTTCTGCTCTGGCATGCTTGAAGGTGCCTGAGGCAAATTCTTCATGGATGGACACAGTTATTAGGCAGTAAGTTTATGGTACGGTCGAAGCCAGAAACTTTTTTTGTTCAGTAAAGAGTTCATGGCACAGCAGCAGATAATCTGGTGATATTGCAAGGAGGGAGGGGAGCAGGTTTTGTACAGAGGTTGAAGGGGTTTAATCCAGGTGCTGAGAATCTTGTGTCTGAGGTTAATCAGTTGTTGCAAAATGAATGTTAACTTAGAATTGTCGTAGTGTTTGTGAATTTTTTTTCTTTCAGTCTTGCTAACGTAACTGGCACCTCTGTTGTGTCTTGCAGAAATCACGTAGTGGATGTGAGCGTTGCAGTGAGCACTGCTGCAGGGCTCATAACTCCTATTGTGTTTAATGCACATATAAAGGGCCTGGCTTCCATCAGTAAGGACGTGGTCTCTTTGGCAACTAAAGCCCGAGAAGGTAAACTTCAGCCACATGAATTCCAGGTGAGGAACTCTAGTTGCTGTTAACTGCTGCCATTGGCTTCTGTCCATGTTTAGAATGAGCAAAGTCTATCTTGTTGTATCTCAGTCATCCTCGTTCTGCACGAAACGCCTTTCCTGAGTTTTCTGTGAATGTCTTTTTCTTGCAGGGTGGCACTTTCACAATTTCCAATTTAGGAATGTATGGCATTAAGAATTTCTCTGCCATAATCAATCCGCCTCAAGCCTGCATCCTTGCGGTTGGTTCCTCAGAGAAAAAGCTGGTGCCAGCTGACAATGAGAAGGGGTAAGCATTCATCTGGTTCTCTGTGCCCTCAGTTTCTGGATCTGAACTCTGAAATAACGGCTATGCACACAGTTGTGTTTTTTCCTTGTAGAAAAGGAATTATTATGGTCTGCTCTCCAGTGTGGGCATTTTGTTCGATGTCTGTCTCCAGACACCGTTGTTGTTGTCAGTTCTCTGATTAAAGCTGCTTGGCTTTGTTCAGTCACCGCCTTGGCTGTGATTTATAGAAAATTCTGTTCATGTTTTTTTTTCCTTTTCTTTTTTTCCAGATTTGATGTGGCCAGTATGATGTCCGTGACACTGAGCTGTGACCATCGGGTTGTAGATGGAGCTGTTGGAGCACAGTGGCTTGCTGAATTCAAGAATTTCCTTGAAAAGCCAGTAACCATGCTGCTATAATTGAACCATGCAAAGCAGAATGTTCCTGGGTCACACTGTTCTGTTTTAAACAAGCTATTTAGACTTTAGTATTCAGACTTATTAAAGAGTTTCATTTTTTATTTTAAATATGTATTATATTATCTGGTAATGTTCTTACCAGTCTGTACAGAGAAAAGGTTTGCAAAAATGCTTTTCGAGGCAATATTACATCTATTCTGTATGTTTATACAGTTGGTTAACTTGCAAACTCTTCCAAAACAGTTTAGCATCCCAGATTTAAAGATGATCCAGGCAGTATGCGTGCTGCCGTCTGCTTCTAAGCTAGGTTGGATGAGGTGGGGGTGCATAGGAGGTAATTTCACCACCTCCGTTTTCAGAAATTTGAGTTGCAAACATCTCTCCACAGGAGTTCAGATGAGATGAAACTGAAATACAGGAGGTGAATTCCCTTATTCTATTCTCTTGCTGGGATGGGTGGCAATGGCAGATGCACTGAGGGACTGAAGCCCCTGGGAATAGTTTCTCAAAGGCCAAGTGTGAGCATTCCAAGTCTCTTTTGGAATTTAGCACTGGTTTGGACCTTCTCAGCTTTGGGATCCCTTCTGAGCACTTTAAAGGTGAAAGAACACTGATACTGTGGTGTCACATCTCAGGCATCACGGGGAACGTGCTGTCTTGTCATAGACTTTCACTTACATGTGCTTCTCATATGAAGATCTTTAATTGCTTTGCCTCTTGCTGGGTTAGTATCAGACTGTGATGCCATGGAAGTAACTGTTCTGTAGAATTTCCAAGAGACTTTGTGTGTTGGAACCCATGTAGGCAAATCACACATGCTCCTAATCCCACCAGTGGGTGTTAATCATGTGTGATACAAGCATTCAGAAACTTTTTCAGGCTTTTTCTACCATAGGAGTGCATTAGTCACCAGTACTGCAGTTCTGCCCCGAATTGTCTGTGTTGTCCCAGCCTCAGCAAACTGCAGAATTGCTGTCCATGTATATATTGTATGTAAAATGTTGGAATTGCTTGTTGGACTTGAGTCCAGTTACCCCAGTCATTGTATCCCAAAAGGGCTGCAATGCTGGACGTGCTTGAATTCCACTTTCTGCATGGAAACGTTTGTGCAAAAAGGAGGATGGTGGGGGAACTTCAGCACGACCAGGAGAATTGAACGGGGGGAAGTTAACCAAAAGCTGAACCGCACCAAACCAAAAAGAGACGAAGCTGATTTGTCGCTCTGTGTCTCACATTGAGTGTCCCCTGTAAAGTTCTGCTACAAAACTCACTAAAGATATTGAAAGAAAATACTGTGGAAATTAAATATTTTTGTGGGAACTATTTAATGTCTGGTTGCTGTGATAGCTGGTTTTCATGCCTGGCTTAAGCAAAAAAGTGCATTATGTTTTTGGGTTTGTTTTTTTAATGATCTAAAATATCTGGGTTCCAGACTTGCTCTAGTGAACCTGTGTTCCATTAAATGTTTTGAACTACTAAAACACGTCGCAGTGCTTTTCTGTGGAGTCGTGTGGCTGTTTGTGCTGCTGTGGCACAGGCAGCGCTGCTCAGCCGTTCCCTCTGACAGCGACACTCGCCCTGTTAACCTTCAGTTGTAATCACAGATATCCCAAGATGATCATTCAGCACGGGATACCACACAGCACCGAGCTTGAGCCTTCCCAGCTTCCCTGCTGCACTGCTCAGCAGCAGCTCAAGTTCTGGCTCATGGAAGCTTTAGTTTTCTACCTGCAGTAAGAGCGGTCAACGCCCTGCAGCTGCACTCCCCAAATGAGTCTGGAATAGGATTTGTTGGGCTGCAAGTCTCTCCCTCGTGTGTGCTTACAGTGCTGGTGCTGCCTGCTGGCTCTAATAGCTGCAAATCCCTTCTGTACAGCCTTCTAAGAAACAAAGGAGAACCTGGGGCTTCGTGGTCTTTCAGGAGTTTGCATTTTAAAGATGCAGCTTTTGTCTGTTTTGATTTGCTATGTACCCTACAATACATCACTGCAATAATGTGATGGTGTGTGCATTTGCCATAGGCGCTAAGCTCCCTTTTGTTTTCCCCCTGGCAGCGACTACTAATTGTTCTTAGTAACCTTTCATTGCTTTTTTATTCTGTAAATGAATGCAGGTGGCTTTCCTGCCTGAAATGCTCCAAAATTGTTACTGGTTGCTTCCGCTTCCTGCCTGGAACTTCAATTCTTACCATGCTTTGGATATACAAAGCCTGTCGTTTCGTGGTCTCATTCACAGATTTATAAACTGATAAGAAGCGAGGTCGGCACAGTCAGTGACATAACCACAAAGTGCTGCAGGGAAGGTCAGCAGGGGTTGGCTGTAAGCAGGACGTGTAGAACTGTGTGTGATGCCTCTGCTGGCTGCTGCAGCATGCAGTACACACCAGAGCTGCACTAACCACATTAATCCAGTAAGCAAAATAACCTATTGAACAACAACAACAAAACGCCTGCTACTGCTGTGTACTAATGATGTAATAAGTGTATGTGTGCATTTACATACAACTATTAATGTATTCAATTATTTCTTGAGTATTTACAGTCTTTACTTATGTTTTCCAAAGCTCAGTGGGCCACTATTCCTCCTGACTTCCTTTTCTACATATACCTTTGAGATATTCACCTCAGAAGATGAGAAAGTCCATTAACTCGCTACCAATCAGGAGTCAGGATTCTCATTCCGGGCTTTTGTTTAGTTCTGTCATCTGAGAACACAAACTAAAGAATGCATCCCTTATTGCCCAGGCTTGGCAACAGGTGCTGTGATGAACAACACCCCTTTTCCTTTATTAAACACAGCTGTCGTCGTTTCTTCATCCACCAATTCTGGCAGATCTACTTGTAATTTGTATTTTTCAGGGACATCGATGATCACGTCATCCTAAAACAAGGAAGTAAGTGATTAACTACTTAGCAGTGAATTAGCAACAAGTATTTCTAAGAACGTGATACAGACAGAAAAAAGTGAGGTTATTCTTGTTTGTCTTACCTTGGAAATTCTTAGATCACACTCAGAAACAGAGCTAACCTCAGGCAACTCAACTTTCAGTGTAATTCTTACTGGCTTGTTATTTGCATCCCTCACAGTGGTCATTTCATAGGCAGGGGTGCTGAGCTCCTCTGGCACTTCTGTACTGCTGATTTCCTCTATCAGCTGCACTTTAGACTGCGGTACACTTTCTTCCTTCAGCAGGACAGGAGTGTCGCTGCAGTCCTCAGCTTCTATGCTGTGCAGCAGCTGATGGAGCATCAGTTCTTTGAAGAAAAGCGAGGTTTTTACATCAGTCAGTTACTAAGAACTGAAACATTGGCTACTTGGCAAATACACCACACAAATTTTAGCTCTGCCACTGGCACTTCTGTTAGACAGACCACTGCTTCTCCTTCCCTCACGACTTGCTTTCTTGCTGAGCTGTTAAGAGTTGCTGTTTTCAGAGCATTGGTTACAGCAGCAACCTCTTCTACTCACTTTAGAGGAAAAGAAACTTGGCACCACAAAGGATCAGACCCTGGCAGAGCTCCCATGTCCAGAGACTACAGGAAAAAGGAATTTGCTCTTTCAGTAACACTAGTTTCTTAACCCTAATAAAAAGGAAAGTAGAGACAAGCACCACAGATGAATGCAGGCAGGTGGCAGCCTGGTACGAATCCTACCCTTACTCAATTCACTTTTTTAGAAGTGTTTGGTTTACGCTTAACAAGTGGGGTCAGAGAGGTGAGGGCTGGGGATGCTGTAGAAATCAGGCCCTTAAAGACAGCAGAAGCAGCTCTCCACCTACCCTTCTCTGTGTTCTGACCAAGGTGGGGTGGTGGCAGCTGCCTGCCTTTCAGTTGTTGCCACATCCTTTCTGGGCTTCCTTTCAGCTTGAAAGATTCAATTTTGTACGAATGTGAAAGAATAAGGTTGCATCGCTCCTCTACGAATTTCAGCGTTAAATGAATCAAATGTTCCATTGCTTCTCTCCTCTGCAGAACATCTGGGTTATATGCAATATCTATAATGCTGTAAGAGGCTACAGAAAACAAGTTGTGTCAAAATTACTGTATTGGCAACACATCCTGCAGTGTCTGCAGACCCCATCCCTGCAGGCACTCAAGGCCAGATGGAATGGAGCCCTGAGCAGCCTGAGCTGGCGGGGGGCAGCGCTGCCCACGGCCGAGGGTGGCACTGGCAGGGCTTTGAGGACCCGCCTTCCCGTTCGAGGTTCCCTGAGCAAGGAGAGCCGCGCCCGCCTTCCCTTCGGTCCCCCCGCCCGGCGCAAGGCATCGCACCTTCCCCGTCCGCCGCCTCCTCCAACGGCCCCGCGATGACGGGGATGCGGGCCCGGGGCTCGGCAGGGGCCGGCACCCGCCTCCAGCCGCAGACGTTGACGAAGAGCGGCCCGCAGGCGGCGCGAAGCCCCCGGCGCCGCTCCCCCGCGGCGGGCAGAGTCCGCACGCACAACCAGGGCTCGGGACGGGAGCAGAACCGCTCCGCCTCGGCGCGCCGCTCCCGCAGCAGCCGGCGGTATTTCTGCGGCTCGTTCTCCGCCATCTCGTCCAGCAGCGCCCACAGCCCCAGCACCGCGTCCGCCATCGCCTAGCGACAGCGACCGGAAGTGCCTCCCTTCTTCCGGTCCCGGCCTGCCCGGCGGCGGCACTTCCGGCCGGGAGCCGGGATCGGGCCGGGCGGCGGGGGCGCGGGTCCGTTGAGCTGCGCGGTGAGAGCGGGAGGGACGGAAAGAGGAAGGAGGGAAAGAAAGAAAGAAAGAAGGAAGGAAGGAAGGAAGGAAAGACGGACGGAAGGAAGGAAGGAAGGAAGGAAGGAAGGAAGGACGGACGGAAGGAAGGAAGGATGTCCCGGGTGCCGGTGGGGAAGGTGCTGCTGCGGAACGTCATCCGGCACACGGGCGCGCACAACAAGGTACGGCCCGGCCGCTGGCGCTGCGGCGGTGCTGGGTGCTCGGCCCCTGCGGCGCGGCTCCCGGGGGCAGCGCGGTGTGCCGGCGGGGCTCCGGCTGCGCTTTGTCGGCTTTCAGATCGCGTTCGCGCGTAGCGGCGGCGTTGAGGTGCGGGGAGTGGGGAACCCGAGGTCCGTCCGTCGGCGGTGAGCGGCTAGGCTCGCAGTCCGAGCCGGGAGCTCAACGTGTTCGGCCGTTCCCTTTTCGCGATTTTCAGATCCAGGAAGAGTCGGAGATGTGGAAGATCCGCGAGTGGGAGAGGCAGGCGGAGGAGACGTTCTGGCGGCGGCGGAGCAAAGTGCTGTCGGACACCTCCAGGTGGGCTCCGCACCGCGGGACGCGGCTGAGCCCCTTTGCCACAGCAGAGGGCGTGTTGTGATCGCGGTCTCGTAGTAACGTATGGAGACCGTAGTGGTTATATAGTTATATTTTCACCTCCGAGAGTTCAGACCGGGGCTTAAATCTGACCTTTCATCAAAGAACCACAGAACTGTAGAGGTTGGAGAGAACCCCACTGAGTCCAACGCCTGCTAAAGCAGTTCTCTATGGTAGGGCACACAGATGGGCATCCAGACGGTTCCTGAATATCTCCAGAGAAGGAGACTCCGCCACCTCTCCTCTCTGGGCAGCCTGTTCCATCACTTAGACAGTAAATAAATTTTTTCTTGTGCTCACATGGAGCTTTCTGTGTCCCAGTTTCTGCCTGTTGCCCTTTGTGCTATTGCTGCGTGCCACCAAAAAGAGTCTGCTTCTATCAACTCACTCCCACACTGCAGATAGTTATAAACAGTGCTGAGTGCCCTCTCAGCCCTCTCTTCTCCAGGCTGAACAGCCCCAGCGCTCTCAGCCTTTCCTTATGGGAGATGCTCCAGGCCCTCTTCATAATTTTCAAAATTCAGCTGGTGCTGACCAAACTGCAGTTTCAGTCAGGTCAGTTCTGTTCCCCGAGTTCCCCATTTTCTGTGTTTATAACAGCTGTGTATCACTGCAAATTGTCAGTCTCCTGCAGAGCTGTTTGTTGTGACAGGCGAGGTGACCCCTTCTAGTGCAGTGCCTTGAGCATCCCTGCATGCCATGAATTGTGCTGTGTGCAGTAGGCAGTGATAAATGTGTAAATTTATTTACAAATAATGTAAATGGTGTTAGTTACTGAACTGGTTGTAGAAGAGCTCTAATGATGACTGTCTGTTAAAATGATAGTTGGTCTTCTTGCATAGATGGACACCCAAGACTTGCTGGATTTTTGCTCCCCTCGCTGGACTAACCCCTTGCTCAGAAAGTTTCTCCATCAGGACTGACAGCTGAAGGACAACTGTTCTCTTTCTGCAGCAGTCGGATGCGCAGTGATGGCTTTGATGAGGAGGGCCACAGCGCTGACTGGAAAACAAAGAACTCCCGTTTTCTCAACCCAGTCGAAGATGATCTTTTGAGAGCACGATCATGGAATAAAAAGCTCTACGAATGTGAAGCCAACATGCCAGACAGGTCTGTGGAGGGCATCAACATTCGGTGACCATAATTGTAACTTGAGCATCTTTCATAGCGTCATAGAATCACAGAATGGCCTGGGTTGCAAAGGAGCACAGCGCTCATCCAGCTCCAACCCCTGCTGTGTGCAGGTCGCCAGCCAGCAGCCCAGGCTGCCCAGAGCCACATCCAGCCTGGCCCTGAATGCCTGCAGGGATGGGGCATCCACAGCCTCCTTGGGCAACCTGTGCCAGTGCCTCACCACCTCTGAGTGAAAAACTTCCTTCTAATATCCAACCTAAACCTCCCCTGTCTCACTTTAACACCATTCCCCCTTGTATTCTGGAGTACTGTACTGAAACTTACTACGAAGTAGTGTTTGATCTCATTCAGTAAGTCAGATGCACTTTGCACTGACACACAGAGTGTCTGATTTGAATTTACCAAATTTGTATTTATCAACAGAATTCTTAAGTCACAGTAAGCAGCAAAAGCTCAGCCCTGCATTTTCCATCTAAGTTTAGTATTTGTTACTTTGTCCAAGGAAAAGTCTAAAAATGCAATTCAGTGCTCTCTGGGGTTATTTTAAATAAATATGAGTTGTATTATTGCTGTGATTAGAAGTAGGAAGGAGCCTAAAAACAGAAAGTGCTTTTAAACTGCTAACCAAATCAGTTGGTTTTCCTTCTTTTTTTTGGTACTGGGAAGGTTCTGATGCCTCTCTTGTTGTCTGAACCAATGCTCATTCTGTGGCTCTGTCTTTTCAGAAGTTTTTTTCCCTGAACTTCAGTCAGTTTGTTGCTAATAGATGTTTCTGCTTTCTCACAGATGGGGCCACAGTGGCTATAAGGAGCTGTACCCTGAAGAGTTCGATACAGATAGGTAAGGCTAATGGGGTCACAGATGTATCCCAAATTTGTCAGGCTATGTAGGGAATTTTACAAACTGAGATTATGAATCTACTTTTAATATCAAAGCAGCATTATTGAGTTTCAGATACCCACTGAAAAAAAAAGCGATCCATTAATGTGGTTCCCTTCTTGCCTGAGTCTCAGGAGAGGGTTGTATCTCTTAATTAGATGTTTGGCTTTAACTTGAGTTACTAAAATGCTCTGAATGTTGGGGGTCTGGACCAACAGAGAACCAGAGCAGTTGGCTGAATCCAAATCAGATGAATCAGATATCAGCTCAGGGTTCCCCTTTGCCTTATAATATACCCGTGTTTTCTGATTTGCACTTTATCTGGAGAGAATCAACTCTCCCAGCACCCTGGAAAGTGGAGACTTAGCTCTAAAATAAGATCTTAGAGCTGATCATTCCAAGGTTCACCTAGCAGTAATCAAATACAGTATTTGTCAGACTTACAGATTGGAAATAACCCTTCATAAATTAGTTTTTCATCACTCACTGGCCTTCAGTATCTGTTCTCCTTGGTTCTGGCTCAAATACCTTAAATGGAGATAGTAATAAGGTGTGGACTCAAGCTGTTAACAAGCATTTGAAACAAAAATACAGCTACTAAGTGTGCTTCCCTGAACTATTCAACTGAATTGATGGGCTTGCTTGAAACAAGTCCTGGCTGCTCTCTGCCTGCCTGTTTGCTTTCTACTTATCATCCTTTGTTCTTCTTACAGTGACCAGCATGAAGGAGACAAACAAAATGCTGTCAATGGAAAGAAGAAATCTCATCTGAGAAAACAAACTGCCCACGAGTTGCACAAAAGGAAAAAAACAAAGAAATCACACAAGAAAAAGCAAAAAAAGAGATCACACAAAAAGAGAAAGAAAAAGGAGCAGGGAAGGTCATCGTCAGATTCCTCCAGGGAGAGCGAATGCTCTGAAGAGGAGACTTCAAGCACTCAGAAGGGGAAACACAGGCGCAAGAAGAAGACCAGGAAAGTGCCTGCTAGAGAACCTACCTCTTCCTCTGGGCAGGAAAGTGACTTTTCCCATGCAAGCCGCTCAACCACCAGCAGCTCTGAGGACAATGAATCTGAGGAGAAAAAAGAGAAACGCTTCACTAAAAAGAGAAAGAAGCGTCACAACTCTGTGTCGGAGCGGCACAGCGAAGTAGCAGAGAAGAGGAGCAAGAGAAAGAACTGGAAAGTGGCCGCTGACGAGAAGTCGGAGGAGAGCTCAGAGGAGGACTGATGGGGAGATGCTGAGCTCGGGCTGCGGCACAGACAACGCGATAGAGGACAGAGGCAGGTATTTTTCTTTCAGCACTGTGGTTTATACATCCTGCCATCCGCAGGGGAGATGCTGAGCCCTGGCAGCCAGCTGTAGCTTCTCCCCTGCTTTTCACTATTTTGATGCTCAGGAAAGCAGGGGACCAGTTACCTGTCTTGCACATTGGCTAGTTCTGCCAACTTGAGGTTTTCTTTATATGACTGGTTGGTTGTTGATGAACAAAAGTGTTACAGGCTGTCTGCAAGGGAATTCAGGCATGTTTGCACCGTTTTATTTTTTTAAATTAAGTTTTAACAGTTTGGAGTTGTTGGTTTGTTGGGTTTGGTTTTTTTGTTACCCAAGTCATGACCAAAACTTGCAATAAGAGTGGGGAGAGACAAGAAGTCCATTGGCTGAGTTGCTAACAAAGGAAATGTCACTGGATTTAGCCCTGTGGTAGCTTTGTTTTCCCCTCTCCAGCAGAAGACCTATATGGCATCGTGCACAGGTCAGTGGGGCACAGAAGGGAGCGTGAGAGAATGCTCTCCTTCAGCAGAAGGTGCACTGACCCCCCTTCCACAATTACGAAGAGAAGACACCAGAGTGATTGTTTCAGACTTCTCTCCAGCTCCTGGCAGCGCTGGGTTGTGCCCGGTTCTCCTGGGGGTGCTGAACCTGTGCTGGCAGAGAAGCCTCGGTGGGTGCTGTGTTCTGGCTCTGGTCTGCCTGATGCATTAATGAGAGATTGGTACAGAGTGGCTTTCCCTGCAGGTGACAGCCAAGCCTTGTTTTCACCAGATAAATAAATGAAGACGCGTTTGATGCTTCTGTCACTGTTTCAGAATTAAGCCCAGGGGCAGCCCAGGCCTGATCCACCGGGGTGGTGCTGTGCTGCTGCCGGAGCAGGGCAGGGGCTGGGGCGGGCCGAAAGGAGGCAGAAGAGGGGCGGGTGGAAGCGCTGCCCCGCGCGGCTCCGGCTTCGGCCCGCACGGAACGCGAACAGAAGTACCCGGATCCCTGCGGTTCGGCGCCCCGTGTCACTTCAGAGCGGGCAGCGGGGGCTGGCAGCCGGGGGAAGGGCTGCGCGCTGCCTCAGGCCGTGGCTCCGTCCCCAACGCAGTCACCGCTAGGAAGGGACCCAGCGGGGAAGTTCCTTTACGAGCGCAGCCAGCCTTTATCGCAGCGCTTCTCTGCGGCCACAACGCCCGGCAGTGCCGCCGCTTCGCGGGCAGCACTCCGGGAAGCCGCGGCCCGCTGCGCCGCGCCGTGCACAGTTGTGCGTCTGGCAACCCGGAAGCGGAAACGCGTGTGAGCCAACAACGTCCGGTTCCGGCGCGCAGTGCCCTTGGGCAGCAGGGGACAATGGCGGCGCTGGTGCTGCTGCGGGCGGGCCTGGCGCGGCCCCGCGGCGTCCCGACGGGTGAGTGCCCGCCTGCAGCCCCGCACCGTCCGCCCCGCCCGGCCCTCATCCGGCCTCGCTCTCTCCGCAGCTCTGCTCCGCGGGACCCTCCTCCAACGCCCCGCCGTGCTGGCGGCCGCCGCCGATCGCAGCGCTCCGGCCCGGCAGAGCCATGGCGGCGCCCCGGAGGGCCGCGGTACGTCTGCGGGACCGGGGCCGAACTGCGGCTCTGCGTGAGGGCGCGGTCGAGAGCGTCCTGAGTCGGAGGTTCAAGGCCAGGTTGGATGGGGCCCTGGGCAGCCTGGGCTGGTATTAAATGGGGACTTTGGTGGCCCTGCATGTGGCAGGGGGTTGGAGATTCGTGATCCTTGAGGTCCCTTCCAACCCTGGTCATTCTGCGCTTCTGTGAAAAGTTCAGAAGCGTAAATAGGGCTTAACAGTTGTGTGGCCCTGCAGCGGTAATAGCGAAAGTGCTGCAGGTGCAACCTGTACGGCAGCGGAGCTTCTGGGTCACCGGGATCGGCCCGACGGGGTCGGGGGTGGGCAGGGCGTGCTGCTGTGCACTGCGTGGGGGTGCGGGGATTGAGCTGGAGCTGTTCTGTCACTGCACAACAGTGGGAGGTTGGTGCTCTGTGGCCATGACAGTGCAACCCAGGAGTGGGAAATGCACAGAAATGTTTGTAAAAGAAGTTGGCTTAACTGCCACAGTGCTTCCTCTGCTGCCTGGCTGTGACTGCAGGCTGTAATGGTCTGTGTTTGCTTGGAGCTCTGCTGCTGAGTTTCTACTTCTTTGTATTCAAGGAAACTTCTCTTAACTGCGGCAAAAAGAGGAATATTTAAAGCAATCTTTGTAGGCATTATAAAACATATATTCTGTTCAGAAGCATCTTGGTTTTGCTCAAATCAAAGCATAGTAGTCAGGTTGAAAAAATTGCATGGGGCAGATTGGACCAGGCTGCCTGTTTGTGCGGTTGCAGCACTTGAACAGAGCTTTGCACTGAACAGCACTTTCCTTGCAGGCAGTTCCAAGGCTGCATCCCTGCACTGGACCAGTGAGCGTGCAGTCAGTGCCCTCCTGCTGGGCCTGCTCCCCGCTGCCTACCTGTACCCCGGGGCGGCCGTGGACTACTCCTTGGCTGCAGCACTCACTCTCCATGGCCATTGGTGAGCACAGCGGGTTCCTCAAAACAGAGTCGGGTCTGAGAGTGAGGGTGGCCCAAGTCTTACAACCAGATGTGGCTCTGAGTCAGCTGGTTCTCAGCATAAAACAGCTGGAAAGAGAGGCAGGCAGACACTCTAGTGACTGCCATGGCCTTTGACAAGATTGACTGTACCTCGGGCTGAAGTTAGCACAGCTGGCAGTGCAAGGGTGGCTGCTTCTACTCCTGACCCATATTCCACTGCCCGCTTACAGACAATAGCCATCATAATGGAAGAGTTGGTTGCCTTTCAGATCGCTTCCATTTTCTGCTGCTCTTCTATCTAGGGCTTCCTTGCACCCCATTTCTCACACTCATCATTAAGGTTTCAGAACCCCATCTAAATGAAACTGAGCTCAGTGTTCTGTTGTGATGGCATCCGCTGCAGGACTGAGAGTATTGCTAGGGAAAAATCCTAGGAAGAAAATTGAATATGCTTCTGCTTTTCTTTTGTTTTTTTTTTTTTACCAAATTGTCATTGCAGAAGGTAAACACAACTATGATTTTGGGAAGAGAATTGCCACATCAGTTTGTGGCAGTCTTCCTGTTGCTGAACAGTTTTACTCTGGAACAGGGAGTTCACTTCAAGGCTGACAGATGTAGAAAAAGAAACAATGCTAATTTCTAGCTACTTTCTAATCTAAAGACACGGAGTGTCATGGAGTCCCAGAGTTCAGGCAGTGTATTTCCTTCAGTTTGCTTTCTTTAGGCCTTCAAAGTCAGATTAGTTGCCCATGGCTTTGTAAAGGCACATCTCTGTTTGGGAGAGCTGTAATCAACATTTTCCACCCTGTCATTAAGAAAACTCTGAGCCAATAGTTATGTATTTCAATAGAATGTATGGAATATTTTTATGTATTTTTTTCTTACTTGCATCATCTTCTTTGAGTGGGAACTAAATGCCTTCTAGGTAGTTCTAACATTGGTTGGTGAAAATACTGACTTGTTTGCACTTTCATAGCAGTGCTGCTCCAGCAGGATGCTGCCGTAAGCTCTTTCTTGATTTCTGCTTGTTTCTCTTGTTTTTTAGGGGTCTTGGGCAGGTAATAACTGACTATGTCCATGGGGATACTCCCATCAAAGTGGCCAACACAGGTCTGTATGTGCTGTCGGCCGTTACCTTCGCTGGCCTCTGCTACTTCAACTATTACGACGTTGGTATCTGCAAGGCTGTGGCCATGCTGTGGAGCCTCTGAGATGCAACAAGTTGCTGGCAAACATGATTGTTCCTTGCTGCCTCTGCTTTACCATATTTTTAACAAAAAGTTTAATGCAAGAACAGTGAATAATCAAGGGTCTATAGTTTGTACATATAGCAGCCAATTCGGAGCTCATCTTTCAGAAACAAATCCCCATCTTTCTTTTGATTTATTGCTACAGCAGGAAAAGTCTTGGGATTTAAAGTGGGTAACGTCCAGTGAGTTGATTTAAGCTGCAAATGGGAAGGGGTGACATGAATAACAAAGTACAGCTGTAGAAGGAAACCATCCTCAGGCAGCTTCCATGAGTGTTTTTCTGAAATACTGCTTTCTGTTTTCAAGGCAGCGATAATAGAACCATTATTTCTGACATCACAAAGAACTGTGTGTAAGGCACTCCCTGTAACTCTTCAGGCCCTAAGAGAAAGGGGAATACTTTTTTCTTAATCCATCCAATAAAGAGTTTGCAGAAATTGCGTGTGTCGTTCTGAATGATTTTTACTACTGCTGTTTTACTCTGCATATATTGTATATTTTTCTAAAATCACTTCAAATACTCATTCAAGCTGTTATAGCTTTGCTTTATTCGTTTAGATATTATAAAACAAGCAATGTTTTATGAATATGAATATTTTATATGAATTGTCCTTAATTCCTAGAGTTAACATAGACTTTATACAAGAGTGATGTTCATAATGAAAATACAGCAAGAATTGACTTAGAGAGTTCTGTCGGTTAATTTGAGATGCTGTAAGTAGCACATGGATTCCATAGCCTGTGTTCATCTGCAGCATCTTTTGCTTTGTAAATAACCACAGTTACGGATTTTCCTGTGTGACCAAAAAGAGAAGAACATGAACCTTTAGAGTGTGGTGGACTCCAGGCTCAGCATTCTTTTCCACATCTTTAGATTTGAAATCACTTCAGAGGGAAAAATGCAGTTCCCATTTTCAGCTTTCTGCTGAGACTTGCACGGTAGTGAGGGGCAGTTGTTTCCACGTTCTGATGGTACTTTTGTGGTACTGTTAATAGTGAGAGGAACAGACATTGCCATTGTTTAGGCAATAAACACAATGAGTAAGCTGCTGAATTCTGCAGATTTCGTGATTTATATTAAAATATTTTTAAAATGATTGGGCTTTCTTTGTTCATTTTTCTTCAATTCTATCACCGTGGGAAATAGTGTGCAGCTGGCCACTTCTGTTTGCTGGACTTGCTGTCAGGATTGAGATGACCATTTCTGTCTGCTATGGTCTGATGTAGGTATTGCTGGAACACATTGAGGAGGGTGCGTGTGCATGACTCACAACTCGTTAGCTCTGTAGGATCTGAGCAGCTATCATAGAAATTGACGTTTCCTCTTCTGAGCCCAAATGTGGGTTGTATCTGTGTGTGGTATTCTTGTCTGAGAGGTGTTGTGTGAGAAGGGAGCTGTCGGAACTCTGGTAACACAGTAACCCAGACAACTGGTTTGGAGGCTAGCACTGCTGTGACCAGCTTTCTGCGCTACTGCAGCCAGAATGGGAAGGTAACAACCACAGCTTGCTCTGCGGGAAGCACGTCTTCCAGTTCTGCCAGTTCCATGTACTTTTGTCCTAAATTACGGCTGTAACAGTTTGATCCTGTAACAGTTTGATTGATTTGACCCATTGTTTTGAATATTCATCAGGCAAATTAAAACATGTCTGTGTATGTTAATGCATTTTTTAATTTGAGCCTCTCTAGCAAACTCTTTCTAAGCTACAGCACATTCAGTGGTGCCTGTATGTGAGTCCAGAGAACTGCTTTTCTTGCCTCAGAAATTCCTGCAGCAGCTGGGTGGGTGAAGCAGCATAGTATGAAAACTGACAGTCGTCACAGCACTTCTACATCTCCAGCCTCTGCTTTTTAAAAAAATTTTTTTTTTAATATTTAGTATTTTTTTAAATACCAAAACAAATGCTGAGATTTGTCTTCTTCTGTAAATTTGAGGAATTTTTGATTTCATGACAGAAGCTTTCCTGTTTTCTTTGATTACTTCTGCCTGTATGGGATATGACAGTTGTACCCTCTCTCTAATTGCCTCTTCAGCCTGGCAAAGTGAGAATCCAGGACCTCAGCTTCAAACCACGTCCAGGTAATCACTGTCTGCAGTTGGCTGAGGAAAGGAGGAACAATGCCTCCTTTACTCCTATACACAGAAAATGAGAGTCACACAATTTCTGGAGAGTAAATATTTGCAGTGTGTTACACATACCTTATTTTTGCTGAATTCCAGTGTTTGCTCAGCTCCAAATGTGAAAGAGTGCACAGCTCAACCCCAGCATGTCCATGTTGTCATACACAAAGATAGCTTCCTTGCCACAGCCATTTCCGTCTTTGCGATCAACAGCCCGTTGCGTGTACAAATGTTTGCTTCATTTCGTAGTCATCTGCAGCTTACTGTCAAGTTCCAAAACCCCTTACATTTTCTTCATTTTCTCTGAAGACAAACAGCATTATTAAAATTCCAATTGTTCAGGTAAGTTACCAGTTCTCTAATAAAAGATGCTGCTAAGTTTACAGTAAAAGTTGTTGCTACTTCTGTTGAAGTAGCACTTCATGAATGCCACTGTATGAATGCCAATGTAACTGAAATAGGTGAAGATGCAGGAAATAATGTAAAAAAATAACAAAAAAGGTAATGACGTTTATTGGCGAGATTCACGATCTGGCATAGGAAATGTGCAGTTTTCTTTTTTTCAGCTGTTTTCTCTCCATCCCCACAACAGATCTTTTCCATGTATGAGACATTTACCTCAAAACTGTTTGTTCAACAAGCTCTAAAGATGTTTGAGATCAAACTGTACAGGATTATGAACACATGCATGTTCTTGTTTATACACTTCGTAATTCTCTTTGCTATCATTTGCTAGAAAACATTCTTCTGTTGCTTTTCCCCAACAACTTGCATTTGTTTTGCATTTGAAGATGCTTGTTTTTGGACTATCTTACTGTAGCTGGCTATATGTAAATATACTAAATATACAATTGTCTTCCTTTGGATTTTGAATGAATTAGACTTCTTTCATAAAAAGCCAAATTACATTTTAAGAGTGTAGAAATATATCATAGGTTGTGCCTTTCATTACGACTTGTTACAAACTTTGTGGTTTCATCGACTTCATCTTCTCTCGGCAGTTTCTTTAAAATTAATTTTCTTAAGGAGTCTTCTTCCTCAAAGGCCAAGAACATTCCTTGTTCAAGAGAGTACTCGAACTTAAAAGCTTTGGAGCTGCAAGATGTAAATGTCTTTTTGAAAAATATGATGTTACTTTCACCAGGAATGTCTGTGGGAACTTCTCCTTCCTGTGGAAAAAAAAGGGCAGGTTAGTCCCAGAACAAGATTGAGTAGTTCTCTTTCAGCTCATTTGTGTTCTCAGTTTTCCCTCCTAGTTCCATACAATGAGGTTTCAGGAGCAGATACTTACCCTAAATCGAACAACCATTTTCCCCTGCTCTTTCTCACAACACATGTAGTAACTCTTATCTTCTACCTGGACGCTGAATGCAACAGGCATCCCTGCTGAAGGCGCGGTGGTCTTGTAACAGTGAATGTTGAAGTACATTCCAGTGCCTAAATGTAAGATGGTTATTATTAATAGCTTGCTCAGAAGAGAGCTGCAAGTTCTTAGCCGTGCTTCTGTCTTTACTGCTGTCCTTCCATGACACTTTTTCTGTCAGGAGAGCCAGGACTTTGTCAGTGGCTGCTGCTAACATATTCTTGACTTTCTGCTGTCATTCAGTGCAAGTTTGAATTTGCAAGAAGGCATATGAAATTGCCAGTTAGTATAAGTGGCATGTTCCAATCTTTTTGTGTTCGTGCACAAAGTGAGAACTGGATATGTAGCCTGATTTCCAGATGTATGTGATAAGTCACTTGTGTGTGTTCTGTACATGAAGTTCAAAATGAATAGCTGAGGCACTCACAAAGCAGAAACAAAACTGTAAGTGCCTGGCTAAATACTGCTGTTAGAAGTACAGGCTTTTAGTGCTGAATACAGTTGTCTTAAACCTTTCTTCTCCTTAATTCTTTGTATTGCTATTTCAACTCAGTGATTGCACACAACAGAAGCACATCTAGAATAAAGAAACGGGGCAGTGCTTATGGTGTAGGTATGAAAAGCAGCATACCAGATTTCACCTCCTGATCTGTTACATCTTCAAAAGCTGCCATGTTTAAATCTGGACGAACCACAAGCAATTGGCTATTGACATTTCGAAAGAATCGTTTGATAGTTTTTTCCTTACAAAACGCATCACATTCCAGCTCTGCAGAAATATTAAGCAAAGGGGAACAAATAATAATTAAAAACAAACAAACAAAACAATGATGCTTTTGATCTGCATGGATTTTTGCAGATCACTGCAGGCTTTATTTTGTGATTAAAGATAGTGCAGCAAGTTGATAGAACAGCAATCACAAACAGAGCAGAAGCCATCATTCTTTCCACCTCTGGCTCGTAGCAGTTCAGGCAAAGCAGAAGTCTCCAATATAAACCAGAGAAGCTACAAAACCTGTTAATGGTAATACAGAAGCAACAGTGCTCTCCTCTGTCAAACAATTACAGTTGCACAAAAAGCTCTTTGTATTAAGGAAGCCCATATCTGCACCTCTGTAGGAAATATAGCAACAGCAACTTCAGAAGGAGGAGATCTGTAGCTCTTTTTAGAGTAGCCATTAATCAGTTGGAAAATTTGTTCTCTAAGGCACACAGAGCTTTCGTGGGTTAGTACACTTAAGCAGGTTAATTTAGTTAAAGTTGATAAGGAAGTAACAAATGCTGGGCTTTCAGCTTACCATCATCTTGGTCCCAAGCGAGCAATGAGGAGGAAAAAAACACATCATTAATCTCTGCCTCACAAAAAGAAACCAATTTCTAAACAGTTTTGTACTGCAAGACTGGAAACCAGCCAGCCACACACTTCCAGTATCACAAACACACCAAGCAGAGCTCTTCTCACCACACAGCGTTTCATTTGGGAGCACAAGCTCAACAATGAAGCCACAACATCTGAGAGCTTAAGATATTACCAAACCAAGAGGCATGCAAAATATTGTAGGGCTACTTAAGGGTGAGCAGCTCAGTTCAGTGTAGGCCTGTAACCAGGTGATGAATGGCATGCAAAATTGTGCTTCCATCAGCACCTTTGTTCCAAATGAGCAAATTTTGAATCATTTAAAATCGCTTCTAAAGAAGCTAGCATTGCCCAAAGAGAGATGGGAAGCTGGCCATTTATTCCAGATCACCCCACAGTGTTCCAACCCTTCTGAGGATTGTTTACTGGAATAGTGTGCAGTAACAATTTCACTGACTCAAATAATTCGCCGACAGAATTTCAAGCAGAAGCTTAGGGAAAAATTACGTGAAATCAGAGCAATAAAGACATTGGGTTTCATCAGCATTGGAACAGAGGAAGTTAGTCAAAGCTTAAGGTGTTCAGCAGCAATATGGTGCTGAACTGCCACCACACTGGAACAGCTGCCTCAGACTCAGATGCTTTTTGCACTGAACAGCCTGGCTGCATAATCTAAGAACAATGGTTCTATGAAGAGTGTGGGGACAGTAACTGCTATGAGGATGCTGGTGGTGTGGAGTTAAAGAAGGGATTCCACAAAGTCAGGGATGCCCGCTTAAGGAAAGGACTGAATTGCACAGCAGCTTTTGATCTCCTACGCAGTTATCAGAAACCCGGTGTCTCTTCCAGCAGTGGGCAATAATTACCTTCAAAATAGAGGCAGAGGTTTTCTCTGAGCCGTACTGCACACACGGCGATCTCTTCACAGCTCATCTTCACACTGCCAGAAACACACCAAGAGGATTCGGAGCTAAGAGCAATGTTTCTTACTCTGTGAGCAGAGGGAGTTCTTGGGTTTGTTCTCCCCTGGTGCACAGTGCTGTACTAGGGCCAGCATGTTTCTCTATATGTTGAAGAACTGTTTGCATATAAAGGACAATTGGTCCCTTTATCTGTTGCTTTTTATCATTAGAATTATGTAGATAATCCTTCTAATTCTGTGATTTTATAACAGTTTTCATTGGCTTATGTGATGACTTGAATTATTGCAGCACACCAGGGAAAAAATGACAAAACAAACCAAAAGTGACAGAGACATTTGTCCTGACAAGGACTTGGCTGCTGGGATGGCTGCTGTGGGAAACAATAATTCTAAGAAATAAACACTAGAATGTATTTATCAACAAAAGAAAAACAACCTGATGTGGGTTTCCTCTTCAAAATTAAAACAGCATTTACCACTCTTAAAGGGAGAATAGGCATAAAGGAAGTTAGAGCACAGCAGTGGAAGACAGGCATTCTCTCTCTCTGGCAGTATAGTTTTTAAATGACCTTTTCTATATTGCTGAGGTTTGTGAGGTGCTTTGCCCACTTTTCCCAGCACAGCCATGGCCACCAGGAGCCAGCATCTGTACGGAGGCTGCAGCGGGGCCACATGCATACAGTGTAGAGAGAAGGCAGAGCGTACGGACACTGCAGACAGACAGCATCAAGCAAACAAGGGCAATATGACTGTACGAATGCCGAAATCACTTTATGGAAGTAGTTTGGCACAGGGGTTTTTTCATTCAGACTGAGCAACTCCTGCCAAAACAGTTTTTTCCCTTTCACTCACTGATGGAGTAATGAATGTAAATAAATGTAAAACCCAGCAAACAATGGAAAGAACCAGCACTTGCACCAGCACTTCATTTTCATTCGGTACATCTGACTCGCTGCCAAGGCTCTTTTTAATCACTTGGAAAAGAATTATTAAACAAGCAAAATCTAACTGAGCAATGCCACCAGGTAACTAAGAGCAGACATCAGCCTCAGGGCTTGCTGCGGCGGAATTACAGCGATTTCCTCGTCCCTCTGGGAAAGCACTGTAAGGAGTGCACTGGATGGCAACGTTTCCTTCCTTCACGTTCTCGGGCCCCAGCTGCTGGTTGCGGGACAGGCGTGAGACTCACAGCCGAGGGCTGCGAGGAAATAACCCCGAACAGCGCCCGCCTCATTCGGAGCAGTCAAAGCAAGAAACCAAGGACTTTTCATTCGTTCTAAAGAAAAGGGGAAAGCACGTGCCAGATTTACTGATAAAGCATTCAAGGAAAAGGCGGCCATCGCTTTAGCGGGTAAAGCCCACAGCCCACAACGCGATCCAGCTCTTTGCCCCTCTGTGAGGCGAGGGGCTGCCGCTCCTAACGAGCCCCTGCGGGGAGAGGAGGGCGGAGCGGAGCAGGGGCAGCGGGGGGCAGGGGGGCATCGGCCGCAGAAGGGCAGCGCGGGACGCGAGCGGGAGCGGGACGGCAGGGGAAGCGGGAGCGGGGCTGAGCGCAGCCCGGCTGGGTGCCGCCCGGCTCGGCGCGCCCTACCGGCAGCCCGCAGGGAGCGCCGCCGCCCACGGGGAGCGTCCCCGCCCGGCTCGCCGCGCTCCCGGCCCCGGGGCACCCACCGCGCGGCCGCCCGCTCCCCAGGACAGGCTCCGGCCGAGCTCGGCGGCCGCGATCCTACCGGGCTCCTCGGCGGCTGTGGCGCGGTGTAAGCGGGAGGGAGGCGGCGGAGCCGGACGGGTGCCGGGAGCGGCGCTCGGAGCCTCCGCCTGCACAGCGCGGAGCCGGGAGGAGCGGCCGCGGGAGGAGGACTTCAGGCGGGTTGCATCACCGTCCGGGAACAGCGGCGGTGGGCAGAATGCAGGGCTTGTTCCAGCTGTTGTCTGTGTACGTCTGCATTTATTCGGTGGCACTTCCTCCTCCTCGGTGGACAAATCGAATCATGTAAATGTGAGGTTACGAAGGGAACTTTTTTGTTTTGACTCCCGTTATCTCACGCAGATGTCAGCGCACATCTCGTTTTCACGCCGACACAATGGTGCGGTCCGTTCCCTGCTGCACCCATCCCCGGGCAGCTGTTCTGCGCTACGCTCCGGCACCGGGTGGGGTGCAGTGTGTGCCGCCCTCGTTCCCAAAGAGCACCGGGACACACAGCTCTGATGTGACACCTCCACATCACCTCCCCTCCTCCGTATGAACGTCCTTCTGGGGAGCAATACGGGTTCCTGTGGAGGAAAAGAAAAGCCCTGGGGGTTGTGGCTAGCAGCTGGCACCAGATGAACGGGGAAACGAAAGAGGGAATGGCTTTAAACTAGAAGAGGAGAGATGTAGGTTAGATGTTAGGAAGGAATTTTTGACCCAGGGGGCGGTGAGGCTCTGGCGCTGCTGCCCAGAGAGCTGTGGGTGCCCCATCCCTGCAGGCACTCCAGGCCAGGTGGGATGGGGCCCTGGGCAGCCTGAGCTGGTGGGGGGCAGCCCTGCCCACGGCCGGGGGTGGCACTGGGTGGGCTTTGAGCTGCCCTCCAACTGAGCCATTCTGTGATTCTGTGATTCTATTCTATGAAATGATGGCTCCTAAGTTGTACCACCTGTATGTCACTTCCAAAGTCATTTCCAAAATTGCAAACAAATAAAGTGACAATAGCCACTGCTAACACGTAAGTGGCACAGCCGCACTGTGTGATGCTCCTCAGGAGGTGAGTGCTGGGGTGCTAAATGCAGCGCAGACACCATAACTATAATGTAAGTGCTGTGTGCTGATAGGACAACTCATGATATAAAACCAGGAAAATAAACTTGGGAGTGGATAAGCAGCAGCCTTCTGCAGTCTTGGAGAAATCATGGTTTGGTCTCAGGACTGTGGGAGAAAACTTGAGGCATTCTCCCTACTCCATGCCTGCTACTGCTCTTGGAGGTGGTGTGGAAATCCATATGTGTCTTTAGGGCTTACATCTGAAAATGAGGAATATAATTTTGAGGCCAAAGCACCTTCTTTCAGTCTCTTCTCTAAAATAATAATCCTAAAACAAACAAACAAAAATGGATCACTTTCCTAAAAACTGCAGATCTTGTTAGCTCCATCCATAGGGAGCAGTGTGCTTTGCTGGTGTCTGTTGGTGAAAATTACAGGCATGTTAGAGAAATGCATAACTTTTTTTAAGCTGTTTGGAAGGAACTTATGACATTGATTTAGAATAACATGTAAAAAGGGGAACTCATGTGTTACGGAATATTTCTCAGAAGAAAAAATTTTCTTTGCCCAGTCACTGTAGTATGCCAACAAAGTAAAGGCTCATGTTTCAGGCAGATAAGCACAGAAAAGCACATTTTTGGTGACACTGCTTTCAGATAGTATGTGCGTATACATCCATTTACACTGAGTTACGCTGAAAGGATTTAAACCAGACAGCAATATTCCATCATCCCCATCCAATTTCCTGATTTGTTACAAGGCGCTTGGAGCACATGGGTTGTGTTTACCTTGAGCTGCAGTTCTACCATCCTCTAGGTACTCTGTTTAGGCGGTTGTTTCCTGCAGTAGTATCTACAGATAGGTCAATAAAAACATAAGTGACTTCTTCCCTGCTTATTTGTTCCTCAGCATTGTCCCAGTAGCCATCAACTTCCTTTCAGAAGTTATAAACTACAATTGCTCTTTTCCGATGGAAATAGAAAGTTTTCGTTTTTTGTTTCTACCCCTAAAAAATTTTTCTTCTCATTCAAAATAATTTTTCTTCGCACTCAATTATTTTTTTTTAGACCTGTGGAAACATTCGATGGCATTATTATGCTCGGCCCCAAAGTTTGTGCAGCCCCATCTCTTTCAGCCTGCAGTGTGTGTAGGAAGCAATAGGTTATTATTATTACTGCTTATTCATGTCGACCTTTGAGACCATAAACATCCCACTGGGTCCCAGAGTTCTTTCCTCTCCGTCTTTAACACTTGTGTGTTTAAGGACCGAGGTCGAGCTGGTATCTGGCTCTGATGTCGGTTCCGAGCTTCTATTTCTCCTGACGCTTTGCCATCTCCATTTTCAGAGGAACCGGAGCTGCACGCGAGGGAACGGCTGAGATGCTCTTCTTTCCCCTCCGAGCTCTTTCCATCAACTATCACATCCAGAATGTGGTAAAAGGCACTTCATTTATTTTAATGTAGGTGTCTGCTCATGAAAACATGCCAGCATGTTAATTTAATTCACACTTAATTCGCGTATCGCTCTGACGTCTATCCGGACGTGGTTCCTCATCACCTCGCTGTGCCGCGCCTGGCAGCCAGCTGAGCAGCGCCCCTGCTTTGAGGAAGCGTTCAGTTCTTCTCCCAGCAGTTTCATTTCTTGCCGCGAGCTCTGGCTTTCAGAGGACCTCCGGGCAGTACGTGTCTTTTTTTCTCTTAAAACCAGAAGCGAAAGATGCGAAAAATTCCCCCTCCGCGCTCCTGTATTCCGGCTCTGTCCCAACGGCCGCCCCGGGGCGCGCGCCCGCTGCTCGCGCGGCCGCCATTAGGGCCGCCAAGGGCGGGAAAACCGAGCGCCGGCTGAGGGAGCGGGCGGGAGCGGCCTTGCGGAGCGCCCATCTCTGCGGGTGTTTCCCGTCCGCGCCACAGCCACGCACAGCAGCTGATGTTGTACTTTATTCCTGGCTATCTATCTGTTAATCAGATAACGATGACGAGCAGCGTGCAGAAACCTGATGAAAGCAGAAGTAAACGCAAGAAAGAGCTGGAGGTGAGCCGTGAGGAGGGGCCTCAGCAGCACCTACACTCCGTGAGAAGCAACTCCAGATCTTTTTGACACTCTTCAAGTAAATTCTGGTGCCGAGCTTGTTTCAAGCTATAGAACCTGTGTGCGTGTACATATATATATATTCTATATACAGTTTTCATGTGCTCTGTTGTCAGGCCGATGATACAGAAAGCCCTCAGCTGTCCTCTGCTGACACAGCAGACCCAGCGCTTTCGGATGGCCTGCAGTCCCTGTACAAACCTGAGCCCCTGGAAGAGCTGCTAAACGGTGATGTATTCACACACCCGAGCTGAATGCTGTAATTGGATGCCAAGATAGACTTGTTCCACTGTTTGAATGAAGTCACTTTTTCTTTTAACAGAGATGAATAAAGAAATCAAGAACTTGTTGGCAAAGTATGCCCACATCTTAAGGCAAGTTACTGTGGTCTCATTTGCACAGCACTTCATAGTCATAGAATCACAGAATGGGTTGGGTTGGAAGGGACACCAAGGGTCATCAGATTCCAAGCCCCTGCCACAGGCAGGGCCACCAACCTCCAGATCTGGTACTACACCAGGCTGCCCATGACCCTGCACAACCTGGTCCTGAACACCTTCACGGATGGAGCATCCACAGCCTCTCTGGGCATCTTTTCTTGCTATGATGGATTACTCTGGCTGCAGTTAATTTTTTTTTTTTTTTTTTTTTTCTGTTACAATTATAAACAGTAGATTTTGAAATAAAAGCAATGTTCTTTGTTACAATAGAGTAACAACAGCATTTGGTCAGAAACTGAGTATTGATTGACTCCATTTTAAAGTAAAAAAAGCAGCTCTAACTAGTGAGGAAATCATTAGCCTTAGTATTGAATTTCACTTTCGCTGATGTTTTTTCTTTTTTCCTTCCCAATTAAGTGAGCGAGCAGCAATGGATGCTTCTTACGTGCAAGAGCTTGATGGAATCTTGAAGGAAGCGAGAACAATAGAAAACCACTTAAAACAGAAAAAAGAGAGTCTGAAGCAGAGATTCGCTATGATTGCAAATACTCTGCAAAGCTAAATGAAGTCTGTTACGTTGCAGAAATGCTCATTGTAATCAACTTCGATACATAAAAGTTTATAAACAATGCTGGATGTGATGAATGCTTCATACATATTTCTGTAAATATTTCTAGCAGTTCAGGAAACATTTGTCACCTTTAGCTTCTTATTTGTTTTAATAAGTATATGCACTATAAGGAGTAGTGGTAGTTCAAAAGACGCAAAATATTTATTTTGAATCCCACAATGACTTCAAGGGATTCTACAGATTAGAACAGCATTTCCTATTTGCCAATCCACTGCTTAGACTGTTCCTATGCTTCCATCCCAAGAAAATTAACTTTTGGTACCCAAATCATAATAGAATGTACCTTGAATTTTACTTTCGTTGTTGTCTCCAAACATAATTGAACATGACTGAAAAGAGAAGCTTAGAAATAGGAGAGTTCTATTAAGAGTACTACTTTGGAAATGTATAACAAGAGCTTAAGTCTTAATGTAAATATGTATTTTGATATATCTCCAGCTTTTCAAATGAAATGAAGAGTGTTTTCACATAAAAGTGCATTGTCAAAACTTTTCTGGTAGTGTCAATAAATAAAAGATGATGTTATTACTATCTAGAATTCCAGTGATCTTTTTTTTTTTCTTTCTTTTTTTTTTTTTTAATTATTATATATATATATACAAATCTAGTTTATTTAAGGGTGATTATGGAGTTTTTTCAACAATTTTTCTTTCCTGCCATTTGACTGTTAAAAAAAAGATGAAACATAAAATATGCAAAATATTATTTGTACTATATGTGAAGGCAATGTAGTAAAGAAAATTGTGAGCTAGTCCTGCTGTTATAACATAATATACCTATCCCTTCCTTCCCCAGTACTGTGCACTTGAAATATTTTCAGACTTAGTCCTCCTTTCACCCCTTTACCTATTAAAGGCCACAGCTGAATCACACCTATCACACTGCTACTCTGAAACTTGACATCTGTGACGAGATTTTCCAAGGCACCTAAAGATGCAGTTGCGTCCTCAGTAGGATTTTCAAAGTGCCTACTCACGTAAGCGCCTTAGATGCTTAGGAATTTTGAGAGATCCCATAAGATGCCTATCTGCATCTTTAGTGTCTGAAGACTTAAAATCTCACCACAAATATATATAATCTTTTACCAACTTCTGGTAATTTTTAAACCAATCATTCTGGTAATTCTATCCAAATGGAAGAATGTAGAAGAAAGGGGGGGAAAGTTTTGGAAGCTGAATTTTCTAGAATATTGCACTGGATGTGTATAGAATCATTTAAGAAGTTGAATAAAAGCAGAATTTAAAACTGACTTCTAGGAAGTGTGTGAAAAGCTTCCTGAAGTTACTTGCATAAAGATCAAAGTAAAAATATGACTTTAATTACTGCTCAGTATCCATCTATTTTATCAAAGCCAAAAGAGGATTGCTGCATCACACACCCTTTTTAGCTCAGTTGGATTCAGATCATCCTTAGTTTGCGTGGCTCATAAACTGAGTTACAAAGCTCTTGCTCTCCTCTCAAGTTTCAATATGATGTGGAAAAGCTGCATTGCATTGCATAGTGTAAGTTTCTTACCTTAGAGGATCACCACAGCACAGATTCACAGTGATACTGTTGCAGTAGTCTGCTCCATTTAAAAACCCGAATGCCAGTAAGAAATGGCAGAACTCCTCTCTTAGAAGGATGAAGCTGTGGATGAAGTCACACTGGCACCTATCCCATCACTATCCGCTTTCCAGTTTTACTGAAGGAGGTTGAACTGAAAATTAATTGGCTTTAAAGCTGCCAAATCTGATCAGCAAAGCTCAGCTGGTAACTACATTTTCTTTAAGCTTCTCCCCATGTTGTTTAAGCTGCATTGCCTTAGTAAATTAGCAAGAAGGTCTAAGATGACAGATCAGTAACAGAATATAAATGGATTTTTCTAGAAATTGAGGAAGTATCTGAGGCAAAGTTCTGGCCCTCCTGAAGCTGCAGGGATTTTCGTCTGTGACTCTTGCATTTCTGAGCTTGCTGTGGGTGCCTTAAGAATCCAGAAATTGTAAGTGACAAAAAACTAACATTCAGCTGTTCTCACTACTCTGCTCTTATCTAACAGCTGGAAATGGAGAATAGCAAATAATGCAGAGATAGCTGAGGTGTTCAGGGAAGAAGCGTCTTCACCCGGAAAGGTTACTCATGGCTTTTCTCTTTAAATGAAATTTCTGCTGTACATAGATGCAGGGAAAAGGAAAAAAACAGAAGAAACTAGGTGGCGTGTATCATAGCTGTATTTGGGGCTCATGAAATTTAGGCTAGAGCATGTCAAAATTCACCTTTGATAATCTTAGAACCTCTAGGTTTTTCTTTGATCAATCTTCAAAAACTTGGTAATGAAGGCAGCACCTACAAACAAGGATAAAGAATCGTAGGTTGATGACTCTATATCTCAGCCTGTGGTGATTCTCAACTAAATTTCCTAACAACCACTTCAAAAGCATCTGGGAAAAAAAGCATTAGCAAAAAAAAATTTTAGTCAGAGTTGCTAACTTAATATATATGTGACAGCAGGGATGGAAGAGGGTAGCTTGGTGTAAGGTAACCGACACTTGTGCATTCTGTTATATATAAATAGGAGCCATCAGGAAACAGGGGCTGCAGGGGAGATTAGAAGTTAATCAGAGGAATCATTCTCATATTTCCTGAAAGGTCAGCTTGGGTGGCGTTCTTTAGGGATCTGCCTCAAGCCTGGTTTGTTCTGTAATATCCTGAATGATTTAGGAGAATGACATTGGAGAATAGTTTTGTTTTTGTTTTTTTTTTTTTTAAGCAAGCTACACAGGGTCACAATTCCTATCAGTAATGTCTGTTGAAAATTCACTGTAATCTCACTAAGATAATGAATGGACCGAAAATAGAGATAAAATTCAAAACAGATGTGGGAAGCATTACTCTTATCTAGGGGAATCAAGTGTTCCTTACAAAGCAGAGGAATGGCTGGAGCTGTTATGATGGCATTGGGTAAGAGAGAAAAAGAGAGGAGATGCTGTAACTAAAGAGTAGTGAGTAAGGCATAAAAGCATTGCTGTTCTTTGCTCTATACGAGCCGTGTCTTAGCTGGGGAATTGAAAGCAGGCTAGGCAGAGTCTGGAGTGGGAGAAGGGAGTAATTATGGACCAAAAAACTATGATCTGTTGGGTTGAAGTTCAATTTAGAGAAAGCAGAAAACAAGCGATGGCATAATCAGTGATCACACTGATCCGCATCAGTGATTAAAAAAGGGCAGTAATCAGTGATAAAAAGGACAGTAATCAAATATTCACTGTGTCTCACAGAAATGGCGGGAAGAAATCAGCTTATTTTGCAACAGAAGATTTAGACGAGTAATAATCTGTCCCATCTTAAGGGCACGGTGGGATGGGTTACGCTGAGTGCTGTATGTGCTGCCCTGCCAGCCATCGAGGGCTGGGGCGGCTCCTAAGAATTACTGGGAAAAAATGAAGCTAACAAGGCCACAGCAGGGCATTCACACAACGGCAGCACTTTTCTCTTTCCGAGGGAAAGGGATGGGTTCACCTTAACACGAAGCAGCAGGACGCAGCGCACCTCTGGTCCGGCCCTGCCTGTTTTGGTGTTCTTGTCTCTCAAACAGTGCTCCTGAAGTCCTGAGATCTCTGAGGTGCAAAATTGCCATTTTTGACACAAACCAAAATATTTTGTCAAGTGGAAAAAGCCGAGGAAAACTGACAAAAATTTTTACCTGGCTACCCGCACAAAGATGCGCTCCCTTTCTTCCCCGGCTCCAGCACGTTTCCCCGCGGCGATGGATGCTTTCACTGCTCGGTGCCTGCGGGATGCGGCCCGGCCGTGCGCGGCACAGCGGAGCTGCAGCGCATCCTCCAGCCCTGCCTGGCGTCCTGCCACGGCTCTTATTCTGAAACGATGATGTCAGGCAGCTCGGTGCAACCCTCTGCGCCCCGCTGCGCGCTGCCGCCCCGGCCCCGCTCTCCTCCCGCACCACCTCCGATCCGATGCCTTCTTCCGAGCAGAATATGTTTTCCAAAATCGTTTTGTCAGCCGTCAGCATCCTGAGTTCTAATTTGCGGCATTTGCTCTCCTCTTTGATGCAATTCGTTCCAGGTAAAACGCATAAACAAACAAATCCTTCCATCATCCTGGAAAGAGGTTTTGTCCGAGCTGCTGCCGGCAGCCGCTGCTGGCACACGGCGGCGGAGCGGTTCTGTTTATAGCGATCAGGAAGGAGGAACGAAGCAGTTCGAAATGTTTGAAAGCCAGAGGTTGTCTGTTATTTATTGAAAAGATGAGTGTGAGAGGCAAGCACGCTGCACAGCCTCTCTCGGATTATGGGCATATGCCGAAGGTTTAGCGCTGGGAGGCTGCCGCGAGGTGTGTGCGCAGCTCGGGAGAGCGTTTTTTTCGGGCATTTTTACGGAGGCTTTGGTGTGAATGCAGCAAATGGGAGGAAATGGTGCCGTGGGATTTGGTATCACCACGGGACTCGGCAGCCTCTGCTGTCACTGCACAGTTTGAGTGGTCGCTTTTTTAGTCTAAGAGGGAGAAACCTGTCACTACAAAGTAGGAAAACATGGAAGATCATGACTTAGTTTACCAGAATCCATGCTTTTTCTTTCTTTCTTTCTTTGTTGTTGCTGTTGTTGGTCTTTTCCCCTTAGAATTAACAGATTGCTTTTGGGGGATATAAAGTTCTGAAAGGCTTTTGGACCTGCCTGACACCTGTCACACACGAAAGAACAGTCAGGGACAGAGTGGTGCAAAATAAATGACTAAGTACAGAGCCTAGCTTTGGGACTGCTGTATAAAACAACCTATGATCATTTCAAGGTTTCATAGTGTACATTCCAGACGGAAATAAAGCCCTCATGATGTTATTTTGCTCGTTAACAGATTGCAACAGCTATATCATTCAGTTACAACTGCTGTTCTCTTCCTTTGTTGTTCTTTGGAGCTGAACTGTGTAGGCATGTAAAGATTTGTGTTTATTGTTTCGATGATCTAATTAAACAAGAAGACAAGAAGCTGGAAAATTTCTTTACTTCATTGTTTGCATCCTTTTGAAAATTTTGAATTTCCCTGACTTTTACTGAAGTTTTGTTAGTGAAGCTTGTTGATGATACAGTATTGTCTCAACTTAGCTAAAAAGTGAGAATGTTAAACTGTGGGAAAGAATGCTTTCCATTATTTTGTTCAAGCATTTGAGTGAAATAGTGAGAAACACAAGAAAAAAAAAAAAAAAAGGAAAAAAGTGAGAGTTAAATCTGTTCTTTCTGATACATTTTCCTAGCCCACACCTCATTCATGGCACCTTTCATGGCGTAGGTGTTCTCTAAGGATTGCATTGTGTAGATCAATATTTAAGAAAGAAGTTGTACTTCCTTCATGTCATCAAAAAAAACCAACCCCAAGTTCAGAATTTATGCATGCTTTGTCATGTCTTTATCCTCTCCTTTTCTCCTTTACTTTCATTACTTTTCCCCAGTGTTTTCTGTCACTCTTTTTTTTTTTTTTAAATGTTCTTCTTGTCTTCACCATGTGTTAGCAAGGAAGTGGCTGGCTGAGTCCCTGGCAATGGGGAATCTCCTGGCTAGATGGAATGAGGAGCCAAGTGTGGGGACCTCCCAGCAGACACAAGGCAAGTGCAACAGCCTCAGTTCAGCAATCAGTGGGACAGAAGTTAACTGCCAGCCCTGGTTATCAACCCTGGTGATCCAACCCTGGTGAAGATGGGGGCAAAAGCTAGAGACTGGATGGGGGAAATCATAGCCACAGCCACTTTGGTTCAGTTTGGTATGGGAAGGAAGAAATGTTGGAGAAACCTATTTGTCTTGTCTTCCAATTCCAATTCGTAATTTATAGGGAAGATAACATAGCCATTGTTTTGTATCAGATTCAGGCTGTCCTGCCCAAAGCACACAGATCACCTCCTCTGGATATAAACAATCCGTGACAAGATTGGTGACAGGCAGAGAAATCATGGCATACTTCTATTTGAAGGAGACAGTGCATGATGAAACAATGCCAGGCTTTGGTGTTTATGTAGAAATAGTTTTGCAGTTTTTTTCACCATTAGAAAGTACATACTGTACTTGGCTATGCCTCTGCTCTGGTATGCTAAAGTGTGTTTGGGTCTTAAGCTTGTTTATAAAGTTTGGCAGCAACATGGAAATTAGAGGCCGGAAATAATGTCTTTGAGTTGCCAGATTAAAATCTTGTTTAGATTTTCAGATATTATGCTCAAGCAAGCCTTTGACTTGTTGCTTATTCAAGTTCTTCCATCTTGATCTGTGGTTCGAACAACTGTATGTTGCTGCTTCCTATTGCTAGCAGAGTCAGCATTTATTTTATGTATCTGTTGCTCAACATGAAAAGCCAGCCTGTCTTTTGTCTTTTGCAGAGATTTGTGTCTTGAGTGGCTAAATGTCAAACGTGAAGAACATTGAATTTCCACATTTAGGTGTGAGCTTTGGTCCAATGATGAAATGCTTTCATTGTAATAGATCTTGAGCAGTGCCTTTGGCTGTGAAGTGTTTGTATTTCATCTGCTTCAGGCATTTCAGAGTAGGTACAGATAAATGTCACAGGTTTTAGTGTTTTTTATTAAATCGAGGGGGTAGACTAAAGATTTCCCTGTAACAGGAAGGAAGTGCATGTTAGGCAGGTGTGGTTTTGTTTATCTGTGTTGTTTTTTTTTTTCCCCCTAACTACAGCTATGGTGGCTCAGAGTAGCAACAAAACAATTTCCTTTGGGCTCTTTGTGTTGTACTGTCCTGCAGCTTGATTTCTTTTTTTGAGTGAATGTGAGACTTTCCTGTGTCAGCAGGGAGAAATATGTATTACTGGATCATTCTGGTCTTACTTCCATGTTCTAATTATCCTGTGGTGTTTTCTGCTACTGATTGTGTCTTGCAAAATGTTAATTCATCACCCATGTTTGCAAAAGTTAAATGTTAATTCATCACCCATGCACAAAAACACAAGTTGCATTCAGCCTCTGCAAGCTCCTGTCTGATCACATCCATCCAGCACCCGCCTAAATCGTATACAAGCACAGCTTTGTAGTTGAGGGTCCCCAATGCCATTTCCCAGCCACATTGCTCCCAGTGGGCAGCAATAATGAGGTGGCTTACATAATGTGATTTCAAGATACTGTTTGTGTTGTGCTGAATATGAGGGAGGTCATTGCTTATTTCTGTTGTTTGTTTCTTGTCACGGGTCTTTTCAACTCATCAGAGCAAACCTTTTTTTTTTTTCTTTTCAAAATTGTCCTAGAAAACGTCTGTTCTGACTCATCTGGGCATCATGATTTGATTACTCTTAGTACATTTTACTGTCGGGATCTTCATTTAACTTGAGTAGTACCCGGAAGGAAAGATGCTCCCTTGTCTTACTATGCTTCTTGCTCTCTGTAGTCAGACAGCAAGGCAGTATCTGATGTGCTTTTTGTTGTGTGTAGCCTGATCTCAGATGATTTCTGCACTACATCTTGAAATCTTTCAGCAGTGGCTATGCAGGTTCAAGAAAGATGAATTCACAGAATCACAGAATTGTAGGGCTGGAAGGGACCTCTAGAGATCATCGATTCCAACCCCCCTGCCAAAGCAGGCTCCGTAGACCAGGTTCCACAGGTACATGTCCAGGCTGGTCTTGAACTTCTCCAGAGAAGGAGACCCCACAACCTCTCTGGGCAGCCTGTTCCAGTGCTCCGTCACCCTTATTGTGAAGAACATCTTGCACACAGCAAGACTAATAAGGCTGTACTTCTAGAAGGACCACTAAGATCATTATGTGAATAGCAAGGTTATCATAGGAGGAGGAAAACTTGGTTTGTTTATCTTAGTAAGTGATATGATTGCTCACTCTAAATACAACATCTGCCAACAAGACGGAGAACACAAGAGGGAAGAATGCTGATGTCATACAACAGTGCTAACAGAAGAAAAAGGAGGATAAACTGTCCCATTAATATAACTTCTCTCTGTGAATTCATAGCATTTTTCTTATCATCTGGGCAATTGTCTCCAAAGCTTCCAAGTCTTGAGGTAAGATAGAGCTCAAATATAACTTTCAGGGGCAGGAGATGGGAGGACATGATGCAGGAGATCTCTTTCAGCCCTGTTCAAACTCTCTTGTGAAATATAACTTCCTACATTTCCATAGGTAATTCTGCAGCCCTCCAGGAAGTTTTTTTGTGTAGTTCCATCCTTGGTTATGCCATCTTTGTTTTTGCATGCCTGTGAAAATATCTCCTTATGGACGTGTTGCTCTTGTGTTTTTGTTTTTTTTTACAATTTTACATCTTCACAAATTTCTTCTCAGCCTACTAAAGGTTTATTTCTGCAAATACTGGTGACGGTCATTAGACCTGCCAGCTATTGGTTGATATTGAAAGCTTCTTCTTCCTTGTGTCTAAGGAAATGCTAAGAGCACTAATGTTGGGATCAGATTGAGTGCTTCATATGGGATTTAATCAGAACTTAATTGAATTTTAAGAGGAAGAGGATGTTGGTGGTTTGAGGTTAATTGCTTTAGCCCAGCAGCCTGAATTCTTTGTCTAGCTGACTTATCATATTAGAGATCTCAAGGAGGATTTTGAGGATTGGCAGGCTGGAGAAGTACATGGAAGGGAGCTTGCAATTCAATTTCCTGCATGCCTAACACTCATTCTGTCTCAGGATGTTCTAAAGAAGTGAGCTCAGGGAAACACTGTGTGCCAACACAGGTCTTCTGAGGATTTTCTCCTGCTCTAATATATCACTTGTCCTCTGTAGATGTGAATATTTGATTTCAGAGGCTCACAGGTAAATTGTTCAGAAGCTTCACTTAATCACT